ACTTACGGTTTTATCATCTGTCACAAATGCAACTCCGAAGCCCCTTCCTTCCAATGAGGAGCATTGCTCTACAGTGAAAGTGGAGCACCCATTGTGACACTCCTTGAAGAAGAAGAAGAAGAGATGGTTACTCACCTTGTGCAGTAACTGAGGTTCTTTGAGATGGTTGTCCCTGTGGGTGCTCCACTACCCACCTTCTGCCCCTCTACTTTGGTGTTTCCTGCTAGGGATTCTGCAGTAGGGAAGGAACTGAGAGGGGTTTGGTCTATGTGCTATGTAACTGCCAGAGGCGTCGCGAGACGGCGACAGTACATGTGTGACCCATCCAAGCACTACTACTGAAATTCTCCAATCACAGATGCAGGGATGTAGATTCACCTCAAGTGGAGCACGCACAGGGACAGCCATCTTGAAGAACCTCAATTACTGCACAGGGTGAGTAACAAGCTGACTGGTCTTAAAAGATTTGTGTCCTTTGACTTTGAATAACTAAGGCCTTGTCTACGCACATAAGTGCATCGATGTATGAGCCCTAATACAACTTCCTGCTAGTTATGTAAAAAGACCCAGATTAAGGAAAACATTCTGATTCTGGAAGAGTACTTAAGTACATGCTTAAATCTCATTGAAGTCAAATTAAGCACTATTTTAAGAGCTTTCTTGAATTTGTCCAAGTGCATCATAATTTTTCCCTAAGGTGTAAAATATATGTCCAGTCAACTGTAATATGAAGGGTTGCTTTGATACCTTTATTTTAAAGTGATAATATACAGCACTGCGACTCGAGAGGTAGAGGGTAAATTGGAGCAGACTAGAAGCAGGAAGTGAATCAATGAGAGAAGTGGTATGAACAACTGCACTCAGAGCTGCCTATCTAAGGCTTCTGAGAGTGATGAGTAATTGGATGTGTTGTGCCTAAAGGTATAGTCTGAGCTAATGTAATTTAAACTGTGGTTCTAAATTAAAAGAATTTCATTTGAATTAATTCTGTGGATTAAAGTAATCTGACCAGACGATGGTAAAGTTAAATAGTGATTGTCAGACCCACTAACCTGGGGCCAATGCATGAAAAGAACTTTAAGGAAAGAATGTGTCATCTAGTGCTGAAAACCATAATGTGATAATGAAATGTTTACTAGTCTTAACTACAACAGCATTCTATTTGATTTAACTTCTTCTACTCTGCCCCATCACTGTGGAATCTGAGCACTAGGATTTAAACACATCAATTTAAATAATATAAAATTGGGATGGGAGGGCAGGACAGAGTTTAATTAGTCAAGTGAAGTGAGGCACTGCACTCAATTTGATGATGTTTCGCTGTTTATATCTGTGCTTTAATGTGCTCTAACTATATCTTTAGTTAACTTGTTTTACCTTTCTGGTGTCCCTGTATAGACAAACTCCTAAGGCAGTGGTGTACAAACTTTTCCTGTCGCACCCCCTTTACCAGTAATGGAAGCTGTCTGAATCCCACCTCCCCGAGAGCTGCAGCTAGGATCGGAGCAGAGCTGGGTGGTTTGCTCCCTATGGTGGCTATCCCAGGCCCCACTGCCTGCTCCCTTGAATGTTCCTCTGTGCCCCCCTAGTGGGGCGTGCCTCAGAGTTTGGGAACCACTCCCTAAGGATATGTCTATGCTGCAATTAAAAACAGCTCAAGCTCTGGGACCCTCCCACCTTGCAGAGTCCTAGAGCCCGGGCTCCAGACCAAGCCTGAATGTCTACACAGCAGTTAAACAGCTCCTTAGCCTCAGCCCAGTGAGTCCGAGTCAGCTGGCACAGGCCAGTCATGGGTATCTAATTGCAGTGTAGATATACCCTGAGATAAATTTTTTGGTATATCGTGTTTGTAGTTAAACAAGTGTTTCCTTTTAAAATATTCCAGTACCAAGATCATCATTAAAAGAAGCAGTTAAGTTGTTAAGTAACTAATGCATTTATCTCTTGAATCATACACAAAACCCAAGCACTTAAAATGACGGAAATGGATAGTAATAAATATTCTAAATCTTATATTGCCTACACAATAAGAACTAAACTGTTTTGTTTAGTTAAAAGAATTGCTTATTTAATCACAGCACAGCAACCTTAATTATGATCCCTGGATTTCTTTTCTCTCTTTAATGCTTTATTTTGTTACCTTTGTGACGGGTTGGTTCACGGAAACCCCCTGGAGGCTGCCAACTGATGTGCCAAGACTACTTCTGCCCCTGCTTTCCCTGCCAGCGTGGGACTCCAGAGCCCTGCCTGGTTGTGCCAGACATGCTTGCTGGCCACAAACACAGACCCAGGTCTGAACCACATCCCACAAACTGCAAGCTTAACTGAAAGCAGCTTAAGAAGTGTTCCTGTCTTTAACACTCAGATGCCCAACTCCCAATGGGGTCCAAACCACAAATTAATCCGTTTTACCCTGTATAAAGCTTATACAGGGTAAACTCATAAATTGTTCGTCCTCAATAACACTGATAGAAAGATATGTACAGCTGTTTGCCTTCCAGGTATTAATACATACTCTGGGTTAATTAATAAGTAAAAAGTGTTTTTATTAAATACAGAAAGTAGGATTTAAGTGGTTCCAAGTAATAGCAGACAGAACAAAGTGATTACCAAGCAAAATAAAATAAAACACGCAAGTCTATGACTAATACAGTAAGAAAACTGAATACAGATAAAACCTCACCCTCAGAGGTGTTTCGATAAGCTTCCTTTTACAGACTAGTCTCCTTCTAGTCTGGGTCCAGCAATCACTCACCCCCACCCCCACCCGTGGTTACTGTCCTTTGTTCCAGTTTATTTCAGGTATCCTTTGGGGGTGGAGACGCTATCTCTTGAGCCAGCTGAAAACAAAATGGAGGGGTCTCCCAGGGGTTTAAATATGCTTTCTCTTGTGGGTGGACACCCTTCCCTCCCCCTGTGTAGAATCTAGCTACAAAATGGAGTTTTGGAGTCACATGGGCAAGTCACATGTCCATGCATGACTGAGTTCCTTACCAGCCAAGCCGCATTCCTGGGAAAGCTCAGATGTGGATTGGCATCGCCAAGTTCATTGTTGGCTTAAGGGCTTCTTGGTTGGGCACTTACTGAGAATAGTCTTTTCTCAGGAAGCTGACCAACTGCTTCACTGAGGCTATTTAAAATTAAACAAGCATACAGCCAATATTCATAACTTTGAGTACAAAAATGACACATGCATGCGAATAGGATGAATATATTCAGTAGATCATAAGCTTTGCCGAGATATGTTAGATGGCATAGGTAGCATAAAACGTATTCCAGTTTTGTCATATATACATTCATAAGTCTATTCCCATAAAGCATTATGGGGTGCAATGTCACAGTCTTGATTTTGGTCCTGAAAATGCAGCCTCTGCAGAACAGTTAGGGTATACCTGCACTCAAGCTGGAAATATAATTTCCAATGTGTGTATGTCTACCTGAGCTAGCTTTGATTAAGCCACTGTGCTAAAAATAGAAATGCAGCTGCGACGGGACAGGCAGTGGAATGAACTATCTGTCCTGAGCACAATGCTTCTCGGGATGGTGGGTACTTGCTTGGGCTGCGAGCCCATCCTGCCACTCGCACTGCTGCAGCTACACTTCTATTTTTAGTGCACTAGTGTGATCGAAGTGCACATATGTTTGCTCAAGCTGGAAATGACATCTCCAGCTCAAGGAAAGACATACCCTAATGGGAGGGAGGGTGGAAAGCTTTTGAAAAGCCAGGGAGAGTATAAATAGGTGGTGGTGGTGGGGGGGTATGTGGCCAGCATTGTTGCTGCAGCTAATGGAAAGGCAAAGGACCTGAGGAAGGGAAAGGGCCAGCCCTAATCTTGCCAAGCATGTGTTCTTGCAGCATCATCCCCTTCTGGGCACTGTGTCATATCTCCTGCTGTTCAGGGTCAACATCCCCCTTCTGTTGATGAGGTGGTGGATGGAGAGGGAGGGCAACATTTCTGTTGACTTAAGTAGGCTTTGGATCAGGCCTTTGGATGAGGTTTGTGTGCACCTACAAAATATTCATCTTCATGTTTCTAACAATGCATACCTGTGCACTTCAGTTTACTTTAACTCCAAACATTAATAAAAATGTGTATTAAAAAAAAAAAGTGCATAAAATGTCCAACTCAAGAGTAAGTCTCTGGGTCCATAGCTAAGGTCACAGTGCCTCTCAACCAAGTCACTGAACTTCTTTGTGCTTGAGGTACTTCATCTAAAATATGTGACTAATAATGTTTTGCACCGACACAATGCTTTATTATCTGTAGATCTCAAAGCACTGTTCAAAGGTCAGTTAGCGTTATTAGCCCAATTGTACAGGCTACTCTAACTTTTTGTATATTTTGGTGGAGTATAATGAGCCCCACCTGCTTAACAGTTGCCAGTAATTAACCTGCCAAAGGAAGACTTCTGATAGCCATTTACTGTAGGGATAATTTGTCTTTTATAAACTGCAGTTCCCTAACAAAGGTCAGCATGTTCAAACAACCAGCCAATAGAGAGCAGACATATGTAGCATCTGATCCTGATATCACTGAAGTTAATGGAAAAAGCCCCCGAATGAAATTAACGGGAGCTGGCTTGGTTTGGCACTCCCACTGAAATCATTGGATCTCAAACTACAGACCACAAATGAATTTCCAAGACTTAGTAACTATCTGAAAATCTTGAGGGAATAGTAACTAGCAGTTTTGACTGGGACAATAAACTTTTTATCTATTTATTGAGGAAAAGACAGTATTTCAAACCAAGGAAGCTTTTTAATGACCTGTAACTTGAAAACATTTTGAAACATTCTTCTTTGCTTTTAGAGTACATGGCAATGTTCAGGCTAAAATTATTGGGAGAGCGGAGCAGACTGTATAGTAGGGGATTTATAATGAAAGCTGCTTGCATCTCTAAGTATGGTGAGGTTATTGCCTTTCCATAATAAGTATTGATCATAATAAGTTTCATTTGACTGACTAAACTCACTTCCTGTATTTTTCTCCCTCTCTCAGTGTTGAACTTTGCTTTAGGAACTACCTGTCACCATGAATATGCTGATCTTCATAATGGCTGGTCTCCTTGTGCATTGTGTGTTCTTGGCCTCAATTTTTGACATCTACTTCACCTCTCCTTTGGTTCATGGCATGACTCCTCAGCGTACTCCATTACCACCACCTGCAAAGCGACTAGTGCTTTTTGTTGCTGATGGCTTGCGGGCAGATACACTGTATGAAATAGATGATAATGGTACTCCTCGAGCACCTTACCTTAGGTAAGTGTGTCTGATAAAATTTTTAGGAAAGAAGTGTTAAGTCATGGTGCAAGTTAACCATTAAACATTTTACCAAATTGCCTCCTCTTAGGGAGAAGAGAAACAGCCTCAGAAATAGTGGCAGTTTATACCCAGGTCCTCTGTGATTCCAGGGCTGAGCAGTTTGTTGCAGAATTATGTTCCACAAAAATAAGTGAATACAAATTCAACCTTCATAATTGTGAAGAAAATTATTAAAACATGAACTGAATTTAAATTGATGTAGTGTTACCTAGCTCCCTGGTAGCACCTGACTCCCCACCAAAGAGCTCCCCCTTTGGATGATGTGGAGGATATCTCTTCAGATTCCCATATTTCTGTGCAAGATTCCCCTACCTACCAAAATAGGGGCTCCTTCCGTGTCGCCTTCAAGGATAGGGACGATTCATGTGAGACAAACCCAGGCTTCTCCTCAGGCAGTGGAAGCCATCTCCTAGACCCTATGATCCTCCTTAGTGACCATATTTGGGTCCTTAGCTGCTGTTAGCCGACGGCCAAGGATGTTTGGTGAGGTGCCAGCTATGCCTGTTTATACCATCCGTGACTTTAACCGCTAGGACGCACTGTCCCTTCGCGGCGGGCAGCCCGGGCTAGGCTGACGGATGCCCCAAGGTCCTAACCACCCGTGACTTTAACTGCTAGAGCTCAGAGCTCCTTCGCAGCGGGCAGTCAATACTGACTGACAGGTGCCCCAATGGCAGCACTAAGAGCCTCTCCACACCCGTGACTTTAACTGCTAGAGCTCAGAGCTCCTTCGCAGCGGGCAGCCAGGATTGACTGACAGGTGCCCCAAGAGTTTGCCCCGTGGAGGCGGCACAACTCAACGCTAGGCTCTTAGTACTCTCACCTAATGGCCAGGCTTTAGAGCCAAAACGGCTGAGGTTCTTTAATTGTGTTGGCTGCTTTACAGTAAACCAGAGAAAACAAGTCAGGCTTATGCACAAATGGTTACCAAAATTTATTAAGCTAGATTCTAATCATGTGGTTACAAAATTGCTAGTGCCTACTTATTTAAATGTAGAGATGTTACACACACAAACAAGTTACAAAACTGAAGCCACAATCCCAAAGAAAGAAAACAAAGTATAGAGCTCTATTTCAAAATATGTGTACACTAAAGATAGGAGATCAGGTGTGGGTGCTTCTTACCCTCCTTGCATCTCTCGATTCCAGCGGTGCCAAGCCAGGATCAGTCACTCAATTCCGCGGAAAGACGAATAAGGGACAAGGCTTAGGGACCCTCTTAGCTGCAGAAGCCTTGGGAGGCTGTCACTTATCTGACCAGCAGATAGATAGTGAAAAGCACTCCAAAATCATGGTGCTGTAGGTCCCCTACTTATACCTCTGTACTCCTTTATTCTCTTTCTCCTTTCTTATGCCAAATTGAGGCTGGTCTGTCTGGGTGACGCCAGCTTTCGCAAGAGTAGTTGACACTTGCAAGGGAGAGAAACAATAAGTGTCGACTACTGGACATTTCTTTTATCAGGGTAAATATTTTCCCACCTAGGATGTTGGTGTGTGTGCATCACGCTATTTAGTAGGGGCTAAGAGCCATGTCTGTCACAGGGCCTCTGCCTGCTGTGAGCTTAATCGTTGTATCTGTTCCCAGAGGCACATTGTAGCAGCACACCTGTGCTTTCACAGCTTCAAAGGCTGTGCTGGAAGTGCCCTGTTCTGGCTTCCTCCTGTGTTTCCAGCAATGCTGGTCTGGGGGGGGGGGGGCTGTCTGTCTGGCTACAGCTGCCTACTGACAACAGTTCTCGGGCTCCCAGCCTTTCTGGTCAGGACCACTGGGGAGGCGGTTCCATCTGTTCCTTCTTCACTACCTCAACAATCGGAGGAAAACTTTGAGGAGCAAGAGGCCAGAGCAGACAAGGAGGCTGCTGTGCTGTAAACTAGTATCGCCTCATCTTTCCCAGATAAAGTTATTGTGCCTCCTCCACCTTCTGTGACCAATGACTTCAGACAGTTTCAGGAGCTAATGAAATGTGTTGCGGACTCATTGCAAACCCTCCTAGAGGAAGACCTAGAGTCGCAGCCCAAGTGATTGGACGTTTTGCATGTGACACCACCTGCTTGAGTGGCTTTGTCCATTTATGAGGCCCTCTTGGATTCTGCCAAGACCATCTGGCAGACCCTGCTAACGGTATCACCCACGTGCAAATGTGTCATTAAGAATTAGTATGTTCCAGCCAAGAACTGTGAAATTTTATTTTCACATCCTTCTCCTAACTTGCTGGTTGTTAAAGCAGTAAATTAATGTGGCAGACAGCACCACATTTAATCTACCCAGTATGACAAGGACAAAAAACGCCTTGACTTCTTTGGCCATAAGAGTTACTCCTCAGCAACCGTACAGTTTAGGATTGCAAATTACCATGCTCTTATGATGAAATACAATCACACTACTCCAAGTTCACTAGGTTTATTGAATGCCTTCTGGCCGAACATTGCAAACAGATCCAGGCCATAATAGCCGAAGGTTAGTTCTGGCTAAAACATCATTACAGGCCTCCCTAGAAGCAACTGACACTGCAGTGTATTCCATCTCCATGGCAATCATGGGCATCCTGGCTCTAGGATCTCTAGGGAGCACCAAAATACTGTCCAGAACCTCCCCTTTTCTGAAAGTCTTTGCTGATACCACCGATGAAACATTGCACACATTAAAGGACTCCTGGCCTACTTTGCAATAGTATGAGATCTTTATGCTTGTAATTAAACAAAGATATAGTAGATCCCAGATGGCTCAGAGACCCCACCCTGTCCAGTTATCTGGTTTCCAGAGACCTACTGAGCTGCCTCAAAAGAAGAAAACAAGGTTTCAAAGAGATACCACCCACTATATTCACTTTGACTACTCAACAATCATAATCAAAATATCAGTTTTGATGGTTTGGTCAAGGGTCTGGAACAACCTCGCTTCTTGGTTCCCCAGCTGCACCATTTTACCTGCCTCTCTCCCTTTGAGGACTTTTCTCCCACTTTCAGTCTTCATGGGAAAAGATTACATCCAACTAATGAGTGTTAGAGGTTATAAAATTGGATTATTCCATTTTACCTCCCTTCCCTGCCCCTCTTTGGTGACCCCTCTCAATTCTGAAATTTAGCCCAGAAAAAGGACACTATCACAAGAACTACATATAATTGGCTATATTTTATTTATGGAGGAGGAGAAAAAACCTGATCTGGAAATTTACAGGTTTAATGAAGGAACAGAGAAAGTAAAAACTAGAAAAAAAATTCTGAGAGAGGAAAAAAAAGAATAACTAACTTTACTAGAAAAAAATGAATAACCCCTATTGGGAAAAAAAGTAGAAATAAAATAATGTATTAACTTGAAATATATGATAACACCAATTAACCTCCTATCTTCATGATGGTGGCTGACTAATGTGGTAATTATGCCTGGTGGGTGTTAGTTATCTTATGGTAACTACTTTCTAGTTTAACAGTTACAGTTCAAGACTAAATCTGACTAAATCTGAGAGTTTTGAATTTAATGCCAACAGCATCTAGTCATCACTTTTTCTTCTTCTACAAACTACTCTGCACATGTGCACACACAAGTAATTACTTGTATTTTCTTTTCAGGAATATCATAGAATACAAAGGCAGCTGGGGAGTATCTCATACTCATGTTCCAACAGAATCTAGACCAGGACATGTGGCACTGATAGCTGGATTTTATGAAGATGTCAGTGCAGTTGCTAAAGGTATGCAAGCCCCAGGATTCCAACAAATTTGACGTCATCCTCCAAATAAGATCTTTTGGTGCTATAGTAAGGTAAAAAATTGATCACTAAATGTTTACATCGGGGTGGACAAACTTTTTGGCCCGAGGGCCATGTCGTTGCAAAACTGTATGGAGGGCCAGGTAGGGAAGGCTCTGCCTCCCCAAACAGCCTGGCTTCTACCCCCTATTTGCCCCCTCCCACTTCCTGCCCCTTTGACTGCCCCATCCAGCGACCCCTGCTCCTTTTCCCCTGACCACCCCCTCCCGGGACCTGCCACCCCAAACTGCTCCCCCGGGACCCCACCCCCATCCAACCCCCCTGCTCCCTGTCCCCTGACTGCCCCACCCCCTTTCCACCCCCTACCCCTGACAAGCCCCCCAGGACTCCCATGCCTATCCAACGCCCTCTGTCCCCTGACCGCCCCCCCCCCCCCAGAATCTCCATCCCATCCAACCGCCCCCTGCTCCCTGTCCCCTGACTCCCCCCTGGAACTCCCTGCCCCTTATCCAACCCCGCTCCCTGCCCTCTTCCCATGCTTCTCAGAGCAGCAGGAGCTCTCAGCCCCACTGCCTAGCCAGAGCCAGCCATGTCTCCACGCTGCCCAAGAGGAGTAGTGGGACAGAGCACTGGCGGCATGGCTATGTGAAGCTGCGGGGATGGGGGGACAGCAGGGGAGGGGCCGGGGGCTAGTCTCCCTGGCTGGGAGCTAAAGGGCCGGGCAGGACGGTCCCGTGGGCCAGATGTGGGCCGTAGTCTGCATAATAGACTGAAAAACATGAATTTGTTTTTTAAGAATTTTCCACTATTAATATTTGTGAAAATAGGATTTGTATATTTTTATTCCTGCTTTAAGGTTAATTATTGTACTGGAGAGCTTTTTAAAGAATTAAAATTCAAATACAAAGACAGAAGTGATATGTGATCAGCCTATAACTAAGTATGATTTGGCTTTTCCAGTACGAGAGCAAAGCATAGATGTCATTCCTGAGACCTGGCTTTTGGGAGTGCTAACTGAGCTCCTCAGATAGAGATGACTTAGTGGACTCATCACTGCTGTAACACTTATCACTAATCTGTTCCACCACAAAGTGGCTCCTTCTAGATTCAGTGGTGATGTGTCTCACAGGGAGAAATTTACTCACTAGAAATCTAGAGATTGGGGCCAGAGGTCAAGGGACAGGAACACAGAATATGGGAGGCCGCTGGCCCTCAAGGCGAGCCAGATGGCAAACCTATTATAAAGACTGGTCTTTTAAAAATGATTATTTATTTATTCGTTTGAACCTTTGCCTAAATAAAATTAGTTGATGGTCTTAGTCCTGATCCTAATGAATGGGTGTCCTTATTCACAACTGGCCAAGTTTGGATGCAGTCTCAGCAGAAAGGCCAATCATTGAATGGACATGGTGAATAAACTTGTCCATCCAGAACAGAGTTGAGGTACATTGGCAGGATAGCAAGGGTTAAGCATGAGCTTCCTCTGACTGCTTTACATGTACTGAGTGCTAAATTACATGTACTGAGGGCTTCAGTCTTCAAGGCTATCAGTCTAGCTCTTTTGACAAGAGCTGTGTTTTTTTACTTTATAAAAATAAGAGCTGAGGGTATGGGCGCGGAAATCCCAATTATGTCTCCCCAGATTGGTGGAGATGAGATATACCAAAAAGACAAATAATATTTAGTTTCTAGTGTCAGAGGAGCACAAACTGCTTCATTCCTTAATTCTTTCCTGTGTCCCTTTGATTGTGTCACAGACATTTATAGAAGCTAGAAATAAATAAGGCTACTATTAATTTTTGAGTGCTGGCAGTGTTTTTTCAATGCTGTTCAAAAGAGAGTTTTGTAATCCATCCCTATTGGGCCGACGTGGGATTTATCCCCAAAGTATATATTGCAGAGCTTTCACTTTGTACTTCCATAGTTATGTAGATAGACCAATACACAGCTGTGCAAATCAAGCTCATTCATATAACTATAAAACAACTAGATTATGTTTTATTTATTTATTTATTCTTTTAAATTTATTAGAAGATGGTAATTTAACTAACAAGCATCCAGCCAGTGCTCTAAGTGCCCTGACAATTTTTAAAATTAATCTCTAGTCATTAACTCATATAACAAATAGATTGCTTGTTCCATTAAAGGTGAATGAAATTACGCACAGCCTCTTAGTGCTCCAACAGGAGGTAACCCCTCTCCTTTCTCCCTCAATTCCCCCTCTCTCTTTAAATGCCTGGGCAACAAATGAACCTTACAGCATGACTGGAAAACTATCAGATATTCACGTTATTCTCCAGTCTTATAGGTAGTACTTGAACTCTAAACCTGGTGGAATCTTTGTACTACACATGGAGAAGACCAAACTTTCAATCACTTATAACTCTCTTATTAATACAGGTGTTAGCCTGGAGGTTACTCTTCCATGGGCACTAGTAAAGTTCAACCAATTTTGAATTATGCATGCACAAAATAAAGTCTTTAAATTATCTTACTTTGGAAAAAAAATAAGTAATTTTGTTTGTCATCCTTGCTTAATGGAAAAAAGAGTGGACAGTTTTTGCTTAAACTTACTAAAACCATTGACACAAGAGATCAACTGTGAAGATCATCAGCCAAAAAAGGTTTTTTCCCCCCAGAGTTATGAGCATAAGCAAATGGGGTTAAAATGGAAGTCAAATGTAATCTTAAGTCTAGCATTTACTATTAAATATTATAATAAAAACTTAAAAAATGTTCTCTATTTTTAGTACTATTAATCTTTAGACAGTGGGCCAGATCAGGCTTTCTGTTACACCTGAACAACCCTTTAACATTAATGTTTGTTTTGACAGGATGGAAGGAGAACCCAGTAGAATTTGATTCAGTTTTCAATGAAAGTAAATATACTTGGAGCTGGGGAAGTCCAGATATTTTACCTATGTTTGCTAAAGGTAAGCTTAAATTTGTGCACATTATTAGCTGATAAACACTACATTGGTGGTTATGATGTGGTTTAAAAGACTAGTCAGAGAGGTATTTGCAGGATTTACCAGCAGCTAGCATTTCTGTAGGGCTTTGTTTGTTTGTATTATAAATTACATTTTACATACAAATTATAAAAAAAAACCTTACAGAAATACTACATAGAGGAGTAGGATAAGTCCTGGTCTTTTGCAATAGGTAAATCAAATTCTCCAGCAATGCCTTATGGTGGTTGTGACTTTATTAACACAGAGAATGCTAACACGTCTTTTCTAGCAAGAAGCCTGTTAATTTGGGAGTGGGGTGGAAAAATTCCTCATCACCAACCAGAAAAGAAAACAAGCTTTAAATAGAGCATAACTTCTCACTACTGTTTATGGTGTATTCTGATGCTTTCCTAATCTTATCTATCCTTGGATATGCCATGCAAGGGAAAGAAGCAGTAACCAACTCTGTGCTGAATGAGTACCGAGGCTATTCTCTATGTGTGCAGCTGTTTGTTTTTTTTTTTTAATTGCCCCAAAGAGGATGGAGGATTTGTTTCCTCCCACATCCACACCAGCTGATAAAGTGTTGGGCTTATCTGGGAAGCAGGCTGCACCACCCCAAATCAAGATCTTCCTGGCTTCACACTTTCTCCAGTGTAGGGCTGTGCCGAAATAGTGCAATTTAGCCCCAACTGTAGTTTCTTAGGTCCAGTGTGTGTGATATTAAAATTGCATATACTGTTGCAATTCTGAAACTTCTGTAATTTAAAAATTACTGTTAAATTTGACATAGCTATGACTTTCATTAAGAAACTGAGTTTTCCTCATTTTGTTGTTCCTGTGCCCGTTGTACATGTTAAATGGAGATGGGATTTACTATACGTTTTCTCACTCCTATTTTAGATTACTAAAATATAAGTGGGAATACAGTATATGGAAATGCAAACATGGAGTGTTGTGATGCTATCTTTGAGCTCAGAATTAGATTACTAGTGCTGATCTCTCAATCCCTGGGTTGGTAAAGGCTGGGAGTACACAGGAAGCAATGTGCTTGGTCCTAGATATTGTTTGCATTTCAATATACTGTATTCCCACTTATATTTTAATCATCTAAAATAGGAGTGAGAAAACGTATAGTAAATCCCATCTCCCAATGTGCAGACATGTCAGCCAATTAAGGGACTTCTAAAGGAAATTCTGTCCGGTCCTGATCAGAAGGATGGTGGCTATGCTCTGGGGACTTAGAGTAGGGTATATAAACAGGGGACAAATTGGGGATCCTAGAGACTGTGAAAAGGATGTGGAGGAACCCCCCCAGCCCTGCAAGAAGAATGTACGTTCTACTGTTGTAGCTAAATTTGAAATCCATGAACCAGAATAATATGATAAACTCCAGGACTTCCTCCCCCTAGATAATTTTAGAATTGAGAGAATTGTTTTAAATATATTTAATGATGACAGTAACTGTACTTTGCCTGAACCCCATTATTTTCAGTGATTGGATTAAGAGAGAATAATTTGTCGTCCCCCCCCGCTCCTTTTTTCCATTTCTGCGTTAATCTAAAAACAGTTTTATGATTAGCTATAAAATATCTCTTCTGGGTAATCTGTCTTTCCCAGGACCTCTGCTTGAAGCTTGGGTTTGCGGGGGATGGGAAGAGAATGTGGCATCCAGCCCACTGGCAGATCGTTTACATTTTTGCAGCCATGTGTTCTTGGGAAAGGATTTGTGGAATTCAGTTTTAGTGTACTGTGCTATCTTTCACTAGCTTTGTTTGAGAAAGTAGGTAAATGGCTAATTACCATACCACTTGAGAAACTTGTGGTACAATCTGACATTGAAGTAATTAAGAAGCATATACAACTCTGGAACATGGATTGAAATAAGTAGTTTCTAAGGAGGAGTTAATTCACCTTTATATATTAGTGGAGGTATTTATTTTCGCAAAGTAAATGCTTACTATAAAGGTTTGTTTTATATGCTAACAATATAAAATAACAAACTATGGTCCTTTATACCAGTGGTTCTCAAAGCCGATCTGCTGCTTGTTCAGGGAAAGGCCCTGGTGGGCCGGACTGGTCTGTTTACCTGCCACGTCTACAGGTTCGGCTGATCGCGGCTCCCAGTGGCCACGGTTCGCTGCTCCAGGCCAATGGGAACTAGGGGTTGCAGTGGCGCAATGGGTTAGCGCAAAGTACTTACAGAGCAGTGTTGTGTAGATTGATGCTGCAATTGTGAGTTCAAACCTCACCTGGAGCACCCGGTTTCTTTGGGGGGAGGGATAGCTCAGTGGTATGAGCATTGGCCTGCTAAACCTAGGGTTGTGAGTTCAATCCTTGAGGGGGCTATTTAGGGATCTGGGGCAAAAATTGGGGATTGGTCCTGCTTTGAGCAAGGGGTTGGACTAGATGACCTCCTGAGGTCCCTTCCAACCCTGATATTCTATGATTCTAACCACTGCTTTATACCAGTTGTTGACCGCTTTATAGCTAAGTAGTCAGAACACTCACATGAAAAGCCTGCTGTGTGATAATCATCAATGAGTAAAATTATAGTTTCCATAATTGAATTAGTTATCCTTGACTTTTTCAAACATTTGAATAAATCATCCAAATTTCAATGCAACTTCTACACAACGGTTGTATATTCCAGTCTAAGCTAACCAGGAGAAAAATATTAGCTAGCATGGCTCTATCTGAAACAATGCTTAAATATAGTTTCCCAGGACAGTTCCTTGTCTTGTCAGAAAAGTCTATTAGAGTAAAGGATTTATTATATGTTTCAGTAGAGAAACCTAAAACATAATAGATTCTTTGTCCCCAACTAAAATAATGGGGTTTAATTGTTGTTTTTCTTAAATACCAAAATACTGATCCTTAGAAATCTGATTTTCTGAAAGATTTTTGACCAAGGTGATTTAGTCTTTTATTTTCCATTGGTCACAGTAGCAGTTCCATACTTTAATGTACAATATATTTGCAGATAGATTTTAATTCTGCTTAAACTGTATCTCTTTCTTTAATGAATGCATTTAGTCTTTGAATTTAACACTAATTTTTCAGAGGATAATTGAAGTTTCTACAATATTTTAGTGTCAAATATATATTAATTTTTGCCAAGGAAAGATTTTAAAAATGGTCCGTTTTAAATTTGGCCTTGAAACTAGCTAAACCACCATAGTCCTCGTGAGCCCCAAACTTCAAGTTCACCCATTTTCAGTACATATCAGTCACAGACCACTTTTCAAATTTTGGACTTAAATAGAAAAAGAGTTTTTTTCCCCCCAGTCCATCATTACTGCTTTAGCCAAGAAAACCCAACTGCTCAGGTCCATCAGCTACTTTTGTTAGCAGATGCTAGCTGCTCTCTGCTGCCCAGGCTCCCTTGGTTCACATTCCATCACAGACAGCCTTTCTTCCTGTAGAGGGGTTTGGCTGGGACTCGTCCCTCTCCGGGGCGGCGGAGAACCACACCACCTTGGTACTTCCTTCCAGTTGTTGATGGGGAATCTCGCCGTGGCAGCAGTAGAGGCAAACACAAACAGTTATTCACGCCTGGCCTGCAGTCAGCGGGTAGTAGTGAGTCAGTGGCTCACGCCCTCAGGCAGAGGCTGAGCAAACAGTTATACTTGGCAGGCCCAGGCCCTGTGTCAGGGCAGGGCAGCAGAGAGTCAATGGCTCAGGCCCTTAGACAGGTACTGAGCAAAGGCAGGTGAACAACTAGCCCAGGGACTTGGGAGAGGGGGAGACTGCCACCTGCGAGTTGGGTGGCAGGGGGACGCAGGCCCTCCCACTCCACTGTGTCCCAGCCTGGGGCCCTAGCAGTGGCAGAAGACCCACTGCTGCATCAGTGGGGATCCTGGCTGCAACACCCTGACATAGGCTCTGGAGTGCTGCAGCCAAGCTAGGGTAGGCTGTCCCCGGGCTACTTTCTAACTCCCCCTCTAGAGGTACCTGGGTCTGGACGGTGTCCTCCGGGGGAGGGGTCAAGCACCATGGGCTCCTCTGGGTAACTGGCGAGGGGTAGGCTTGGCAGCTCCTCTGGGTAACTGGCGAGGGGTAGGCTTGGCAGCTCCTCCAGGCTCTAGTCAGCGTCTGGCGTTGATTGGGTAGGCCAGACTTCGGGTCCGCCACCAGTTGCCGGGGTCTCCCAACCGGGAGCTAGGCCGCAGGCGTCTGGCCTCTCTGGCGGCTGCTCCTCTAGTGAGCTCTGGGGTTGTGCTTTTATACTTCCTGTCCTGCGCCTTGACCTCTGTGGGGTGGGTGCAGGATTCGCTGGCTACATCCACTTTGTTGTCCGGAGAGGCTCATCCTTCTCTGGGGTGGCGGGAACCACACCACCTCGCTACAGTTCCTAACTGCCTTTTGCCTTCATCCTTTCTGTGCCTCCTCCCTACGAGTTCCTCACTCCTGGGCGCATACTAAAGTTTACTGTTGTGAGTCCCCCTCTGACATAGATGTTAGAGTGGTGCTTCCACTGGTGAACCATGGGGAATTCGTCAGACAGAGAAACTGCCGCAGTAGCAGAGCTAGGAGCTCTACTTTTCAGGAGACATAATGTTATATTTGGCTTTGTCCATGCTTAAGTAGGTCTGCAATAATATGTGAACAACTCATTGGAGCCTTGATGGAGACTAGATGAGGCTAAGAATTCTAATGCTGCTAACTAGAACTATGGTTGTGGGGTTCAGAGATACAGACAGGCCGCATGTGGGGCATCCTCAGCAAACACTGTTGTTCAAAAGTTCCAAGTTGCATCACTGACACAAAATCCATGAAAGCAAGCACCTCAAAGGAGCATACTTATTATGTGAGTAACTGCTCTTTTTTTCTTGAAGGGTCCTACCCTTTGCCGGTTCACATATAGCATGCCTGACATACTGTTTTAACAGCATGTGATGCCTAATGAATCTGCTATTAATGACTAGCGGAACCAGATACACAGTTCTCAGCTTGAAGACTGACATGCATCACCCTCTAAGATGCTGACCTTGCATATCCCTTCTGCACTCTTTGAATATGACTCTGGTCCCTACCATGAGGTTGCAATCTGTTGGTGAGAAGACACATCAGACAGGGAAATCTGATGTGGGAGGTGCTGATATCTGCCACCTCCTCTCCTCCGGCAGTATAGAGGGAAAAGGAGGCTTTCCCTCTCCTGTCAGTTCTGTCTCCAAAGATAGATACTTAATACACAGTAGAAAGAAAAGGAGTACTTGTGGCACCTTAGAGACTAACCAATTTATTTGAGCATGAGCTTTCGTGAGCTACAGCTCACTTCATCGGATGCATACCGTGGAAACTGCAGTAGACATTATATACACACAGAGACCATGAAACAATACCCCCTACCACCCCACTGTCCTGCTGGTAATAGCTTATCTAAAGTGATCATCAAGTTGGGCCATTTCCAGCACAAATCCAGGTTTTCTCACCCTCCGCCCCCCCCCCCCCAACTCACTCTCCTGCTGGTAATAGCTTATCCAAAGTGACCACTCTCCCTACAATGTGCAAGATAATCAAGGTGAGCCATTTCCTGCACAAATCCAGGTTTTCTCACCCCCCCACCCCCATACACACACAAACTCACTCTCCTGCTGGTAATAGCTCATCCAAAGTGACCACTCTCCCTACAATGTGCATGGTAATCAAGGTGGGTCATTTCCAGCACAGATCCAGGCTTTCTCACCCGGCCCCCCGGGAACACACACACACACACACACACACACACACACACACACACTCACTCTCCTGCTGGCAATAGCTCATCCAAACTGACCACTCTCCAAGTTTAAATCCAAGTTTAACTAGAACATCTGGGGGGGGGGGTAGGAAAAAGCAAGGGGAAATAGGCTACCTTGCAAAATGACTTAGCCACTCCCAGTCTCTATTTAAGCCTAAATTAATAGTATCCAATTTGCAAATGAATTCCAATTCAGCAGTTTCTCTCTGGAGTCTGGATTTGAAGTTTTTTTGTTGTAAGATAGTGACCTTCATGTCGGTGATTGCGTGACCAGAGAGATTGAAGTGTTCTCCGACTGGTTTATGAATGTTATAATTCTTGACATCTGATTTGTGTCCATTTATTCTTTTACGTAGAGACTGTCCAGTTTGACCAATGTAAATGGCAGAGGGCATTGCTGGCACATGATGGCATATATCACATTGGTGGATGTGCAGGTGAACGAGCCTCTGATAGTGTGGCTGATGTGATTAGGCCCTATGATGGTGTCCCCTGAATAGATATGTGGGCACAGTTGGCAACGGGCTTTGTTGCAAGGATAGGTTCCTGGACTAGTGGTTCTGTTGTGTGGTATGTGGTTGTTGGTGAGTATTTGCTTCAGGTTGCGGGGCTGTCTGTAGGCAAGGACTGGCCTGTCTCCCAAGATTTGTGAGAGTGTTGGGTCATCTTTCAGGATAGGTTGTAGATCCTTAATAATGCGTTGGAGGGGTTTTAGTTGGGGGCTGAAGGTGACGGCTAGTGGCGTTCTGTTGTTTTCTTTGTTAGGCCTGTCCTGTAGTAGGTGGCTTCTGGGAACTCTTCTGGCTCTATCAATCTGTTTCTTCATTTCCGCAGGTGGGTATTGTAGTTGTAAGAATGCTTGATAGAGATCTTGTAGGTGTTTGTCTCTGTCTGAGGGGTTGGAGCAAATGCGGTTGTATCGCAGAGCTTGGCTGTAGACGATGGATCGTGTGGTGTGGTCAGGGTGAAAGCTGGAGGCATGTAGGTAGGAATAGCGGTCAGTAGGTTTCCGGTATGGGGTGGTGTTTATGTGACCATTGTTTATTAGCACTGTAGTGTCCAGGAAGTGGATCTCTTGTGTGGACTGGACCAGGCTGAGGTTGATGGTGGGATGGAAATTGTTGAAATCATGGTGGAATTCCTCAAGGGCTTCTTTTCCATGGGTCCAGATGATGAAGATGTCATCAATATAGCGCAAGTAGAGTAGGGGCTTTAGGGGATGAGAGCTGAGGAAGTGTTGTTCTAAATCAGCCATAAAAATGTTGGCATACTGTGGGGCCATGCGGGTACCCATAGCAGTGCCGCTGATCTGAAGGTATACATTGTCCCCAAATGTAAAATAGTTATGGGTAAGGACAAAGTCACAAAGTTCAGCCACCAGGTTAGCCGTGACATTATCGGGGATAGTGTTCTTGACGGCTTGTAGTCCATCTTTGTGTGGAATGTTAGTGTAGAGGGCTTCTACATCCATAGTGGCCAGGATGGTGTTATCAGGAAGATCGCCGATGGATACACAGTAGATATTTTTCATATCTCTTTTGAAGTGTCATAATATAATCTAAAATGCAGTGAAGTGTTTCAAAATTTTCCATAGAAGGACCCATTGCACCCTCTGTTATTTTTTTTACATTAATACAAATTCTTCATCCAGGTAGAAATTAGGGTGGGGAATGGTAGGAGTGTACCCCTAATCAGCCCATACACTGCATACTTAATTTTGGTTTCCCGGCTCTGGCACTTCTCAGGGACAGGAATTTGTTTCAGACTGATCCCCAATTTCTTCTCCTTGTTGTATCCCATCACCAGAAGATGGTATAACAATGCATCATCCTATGATATCAACAAGGCCAGTTGCAATAGCCACCAAAGCTGATGAGCTCTGCCTCCTTTTTTGGTATACTTTATCCACTCAGATCAACTCCATTGACAGTAATAAACAGATTTTTAAAAGTGCCTTGGAGGATTCTACTCACTATTCTGACAGCAAGTCAGCAAACTATAGTAAGTGTTCCGGATTTTTAAATAAACCCCATTGTAAAACAGGGATGACACATGAAGGGCTACATCTTTCAGGTTCCTGTTCTAAAATCCTTTAATGGTATTGAAGTTTTTGTAACACTTCAGCTAGGCTTTAGTATAATCCAGGTAAATGTTTGCTCTTGAGCTTGGTATGTTAGTTCACCCACAAGCCTGGAAATTGCACTACATAATTGAACAACCAACAAATCAGTTGGATTCTATGTTGCTATGAACTGACAGAAAAACATTTCCCTGTTGGGAGTTTATACAGAAATAATAGAAATAGCCTTGCTTGGAGCCTGTGACTTCAACAGCTCAGCCAGACTGCAGAATTTGTATAAGTTCCACCTGATTTCAGATCTCATCAGGACTTCAGAAATTCAGTACTTTGATGTGTTTTCTCTTTTCTCTGTTTCACAAGACAGCATGATATAGTCTTTAATGTGTACAAAATGAGATTGTCCTGTCCAGATACTATATTTTTCCATGTCAGTAGGACACATTGTTGCACGTTTGCATTTTTCTGAAAATTCTCATTCATTAAAGTGACGCCTGCCTTTATACATCAGACCTAATTTTTAAAGATATAGACTTTGAAGATTGTGCAGGTCTCAATCCATTCCTAAATTATTCTTGCATATTACAGTAATGTGGTTGCCCTCCTGAGCTGATTGGAAGTAACTAATTTGCATCTTACCTTGAGCTTTCTTTACTCATTTTTTTTTCTGTTTAAATCTGAGTGTCGTTACTTCGTTTATTAAAGTCTCAATGATATGGCATTTCTCACTTGGTTTCACATTAGGTTTAATATCTGGAAGTTAGAAGTCTTAGTTTTTCAAAGTTAGAGGTAAAGATTTTTTATATTTGATTTTTGCATCTTTGATCACCAATTCCAGACTAATGATCTGCACTTTGACCTCTTGACCACCATGTTGCAATATCTGTGGTAAAATGGCATTTTAGTGGCCTTTGGGTATATCTTTTCTTAATCTTTTCTTAATTTCCAGTTATTAATCTGTGTCAGAGTGATAGAACCAGTACAGTAGAATCTCTTTGATCTGAAAATCTAAGTTCAAATACGGCATCAAGCATTTATTACTTATGTGAAAAAGTCGTCCTCTTAGGGGCTGTCTAGATGGGGTGCTCAGGAAAATTAATCCAAATTAACTAAAGATGTGAATTTGAAGTGGATTAATTAACTGCATTAAACCCTGTGTGGACACACTCTCATTCAGAAGTAAAATGTCCTTAATTCTATTTAGTGTAATTCACTTCCTTAGTCTCCTGGAGTTGGGAATCATATCCCCATCTCCACGTATAGGCATACTGTTTAGTGCATGGCAGACTAGTGTGGGGTAGATTTATACTCTAGGCTTGCCATGAACTAAGTGTTCATGTAAACAAGCCCTTTTCCAAACTCTTGTTCTAAATAGATTCTATACCCCTCATTTCATTTTGATAAAATTGGATTGTATTTCACTCACTTTTTGCTTTTCCAAACATTATTTCCTTCCAGGAACTGAAGGGATAACATGGATTTAAAAAAAGGCATAAAGACATCTCTGACATTGATATTATCGATACACTGGCTGATAAGAGAATAGTTATACAACTCAAGAAACAATAGAACATAAAGTGAGGAGAGAATTAAGATTATTCAAGAGGCATCTCTTCTTTCTAATCTCTTTTCTTGTCTTTGTATGGGTTTATCAATATTTTGCTCCCTCATGTCCTGTATTTTAACATGCAATCTATATATTTTTTTATTAAGGAAACAGAAGTTTAATTTTCTTGCTTCTACCCAATATTGCATCTGTATTGTTGTTTTTGCAGGTGCCAGTGGGGATCACGTTTATACATACTGTTACACTGCAGAAAAGGAAGACTTTGGAGCACAAGATGCAACTAAACTAGACACTTGGGTTTTTGACCATGTTAAGGTGAATAAATATTTCGTTTTATATCACTTATGCATTATAGACACAGGTTGCAACTGGGCAATAGAAAAAAATACTTACCTCTGGGTTTGTAATAAGGTCTTAGGTTTCATGTCTGACCTGGAATTTGGAGATAATTAATATACAGTACTGGTTCCTTGAACCAAATACTACCACTGTTACAATTGATAGTAGTAAAATATTTATTGTTTGAACCCTACTAAAAGTGTTTTTGAACACTCTCCACTTCACTCTTTCATACCAAGGTTTGCTTGTTCTTCCATAGAAAATGTTTTAAGCTGTTGAGTGACTTCCTAAAATAAAGCCATAATTTTTAAAAGCAATCTGGGACCCATTACTGAGAACTTCTATCAACTTTGTGAAGGATCTGTGGTTGTAGTTTGTATTTTATTTTAGGATATCATATCCATACTAAAGCATTTTGGTGTGGGAGAGCCAGGAAATTCTGATCTCTTTGCTAATACTATTAGGGTTCTTTTTATCCAGCATAAGTGTGTAGTGTCATTCATTATAGTATCATGAGGTATCCACTCATACATATTTTAATATACTAGTGGAGATATCTGTTCAAGGGATAGGCATATTTTGAATTCCCCAATTATCATGACATCAAAGCTACAGTCTAGACTATAATATGTCAGTTTCTGCTTGAGGAAAAACAAGAGCAAAATGCTATGACATTAGTTCATTTTAACAAAGCTCAATTATCTTTACAACTTTCTGATGCAATAACATTATTTTCTTCTCAAAATATTCAATGTTGAACTTTATATATAGGGGCAAAAAAGTATTAGTATTCCTCAGGTGGTCATCCAGTTTCAGAGATGGAAAACTATTAGAACTAATCTACAAAGTCAATAATAAAAGTCAGCCACAATTTAACGTCTTAAAAATACACTCTAACTTACGGTCATACTTAGTTGATCTTGTGTGGTTTAATGTAGATATTTAAGGATACTTGTGAGCCTTCATTGTAAATAATGTAGTTGTAATTCCCCCTAGGGTGGCCTTCTTCTGCTGGTTGGTGTAGAGGGAAGGTAATACTATGAGCTCACACTGCCCCTCCTTTCTGTCTTTGGGGAAATCTAGAGTGAGTGATGCTAGGCACTCCAGTCCGTGCGCGCACACACAGTGCAATGACTTGTGTCATTTCCAATCTCCATGACCTAGTCTAACCACACAAGTGAACTGGTTTAACTTAAGGTGTGATAATTTTTAAATGATTTAGTTAAATTGTTGTACCTTTGTCTTTGGAGACTCTTAAATTGGCTTATATCAGTTTAGCTTGCCATGTAAATTTACTGTTATAACTATTTTCAAGCCCCTCTCTCGTCGACTTACTTTACTCTTCTCATCGGGGGTAGAGCACAGGGGTCGACTGGAGAATGATCTGCTGTCGATTTGGTGGGTCTTCACTAGACTCGCTCAATCGACTGTCGGTGGATTGATCTCTGAGCATCTATCCCGGCTGTAGTGTAGATGCAGCCTCAGTGTTTTTAAAAACTGGCTTTAGATAAAGCACTAGAATGTAAGACTGCTCCTTGCAGTAAACTCTGACAAGGGTGATGGACTAAATGTCAGAGTAGATCTATAACTTCTGTGTTTCCTAGTGCGTATCTACAGTATATCTTTTGTAATGACAGGTGACACACAACCTTAAACTACTGAAAATGCAGGAGTGATTCTAACTGATCATTCAAATATTCAACACATTTTACACGATAATGAGGTATCTGCCTATTTCACGGTGGGTGGATTAATTTATTTCCATTGTTCACATCACTTTCCTGAATACTTAACAGATGGGTATTTCAATGTAAATTCATTCATTGTAGGTTAAAGTTAAATTAATCACTTAATCCCTTTTCTGTTCTCCTTAATTAGAAGAATTTTTACTTTTTCTGATCACCAGCTGATTTAATTTTTAAAAAAGAAAAGCATATTACAAGTCTACAGTATTCTGGCTCTCAAATGAAAACATTGATAGGAAAAATCAATGAAGAAATTATCAAAGTTTCAATTAGAAATTCATTAATTTAGAAAAACTTGAGAAACTTTAATAGAGTTATGGTGCTTGAAATTTTACATTCTATATTAAACAGGCATCTACACCCTTTCAACAAAATCCACGTAGTTATGACTTATGGGAAGTTCTGTTACTGTCATAGTTTTACTATCCATTTGATAACATTATATATTTTATTAATATGTACAACTAATGTATTAATAAATCATTCGGAAGCTGAACCAGAATTTAAAATTCTTACCCACTTTTTTGCAAAATTGTGAAATGTTAACTGTTGCCTATCTCTGTTGTAACACACCTGTATGTAACCCTGCATTGATTTCGGACTATGCAATGTCATGTAATATATGCACAAAGCCAGATGGAGTGCCCACCGCAGAACTTGTAAAATAAGTCTTTCTTCCTGCTCCTATTACACTTCATTATTACCACACTCAACACACTTTCCCTTCTCTTACTTATGCATGCATGTGAAAATTTAAATCTGAAAAATTAACACTTCTTCAAAACTGTATGGCTCCTCTTCTCTGACCTGTTCCATATTATTAGATTGATTGAATGTCAATGAGGTGACTGCCAAGTTGCAGAAAGGAGTGTCCAGAAAATTGTTGGTAACTGTTTTTCATTATAAACCAGTATTTGCTGGTGTCTTTCCCCCCACCCCCCAATCCCCATCAGACTTTCACTGACTATCAGAATAAATTACTACATGGACATCTTGAATTATAGAGGGAAAGTGAGATTTTTAAAATTTAATGTGAACTCATCTAGCAAAAAAGAAAACCACAGCTCTGTATTTCCCTCATTTCAGATGGCATTCTGGCTAATTAGGCCTCAAAAGGATTTGCCTTGAAACGTGATCCACTTTTTAAAAAAAAATTTAATTTCAGGAATTTGAAACTTAAATTTGCCTCATTGATATTTTTTTTTTAAAATGTAAAAGCAGGCTTACTCTTTCCTACATTCAAAAATAACACTGGTAGTCCGGCTGTGGTCTGGAAGTCCTTGCAAGAGTTCTGATCCTGCAATCAAAAATGTGCAGGTGGACCCCTGCAAAAATTTGTTTGCAGAAAGCAGTCAAACTGAGCATTCCATCAGTTACAGAGTCCCTATTCAATCTATATTATTGTGTGTTTCATGTTTTAAATACCCAGTGACTTCAATTATAGTTTTCTTGAATAGGGACTTAGAAGCAGACTATATAATAATGCCACTTATATGCAGATTTAAGTGACTGGATGTGATATTCTGGGGACCATCCAGACGAGTAATGGGTTCTGTCACTGCTTGCCCTGTAATCCTGGGTATTTTTATGCTATGCAGCTTTTGTTCAGAGCCCTAACAGCAGTAGCCTGCCTACAAGCACAAGGTCTCACTCTGGCTTCCACCAGCCTTATTTCTGGCTGCCTTGCACTTCAAACCCCTGCCAATTTAAGGGCTTCCAGCAGGGAGCCGGGAGCCTTGGTGCAGCCGGACTGCCTGTGGTGGGAGCCCAGGCAGCAACCCAGTGGGGAGCAGGGAGCCCTGAGGGACCTGGGCAGGCACAACCTGCCTTCCAGTGGGAGCTGAGAGCCCAGGAGGCAGCCTGGCTTAGAGCGGGGAGCCCAGGTAGCAACCAGTTTTGAGCGGGGTGTGGGGTGCCCAGACAGCAGCCCACCTGGGAACGGGGAGCCGGGAACCCAAAGGCAGACCAACTTGAAGCCGGGAGACCATGGGGTGACAGCCAGATCTGTGAGCAGCTTTCTTGTCAATTTCACTGCTCCAGCGTGGACTCCAGCAGCAGGGGGAGATCAGACTCACCACCTCTGGGAGTCACCTCCAGCTTCAGGAAACTCTGTAGCTGCTGTCTTCAGAACACAACTCTGAAGGCAGCAAAAACATGAGGGTGGCAGTGCAGTGTCACTAAGAGGATCACGTTAAAATGGCTGTCCGATTGCATTTCACGTTACTGTAATATGGCTGGCGTAAAACCAGATGGCCATGCCAAGGCTCATTTGTTCTGAGACAGAGTGACTTCCAGCTCATGCCTCAGGAAAGTTTCTGTTCTGACATATGCAAGGCAGATGCATGTTCCACACTCCATACATTTACAAAACACAGTTGCTTTGATTTGGTCTCTGGAGATGAACCATATTTTGGTATGTCGGTCCTGCAAAACCTGTTTCCAAAGTAGTAGAACCCAAATCATCCCACTCCCTAGAATTTTTCTTGTGTTTGGGATGTTACTTGTTTGTGTTTGCATGTAGAATGCAAAAATAATGGTCATCTGACAGCTAACACCAATATTTACTTTAATAATAATGGTCATTTAGGAAGAATCTTAGTTTTCTATTTCTCATTCTTATTTGGGATGCCTGGTTTCCCATTTCATATTAAGAAATAAGTGGAAGGTTACAAAGCAGGAGTTAAACTCAGGGATAGTGTGTGACCACCAATGCAAAAGAAAGAAGGAAAGGATGGCTCACAATCCTACCTGCTATCACTGCTCATAGGGACCGTAAAAGCTTAAGAACTGGAAGATTTCTGCCTGTCTTGCTCTAGATGAGCCCCGGCAGTGAAAATTTTACTGGAATATTATCTTCAGATAAGCAGAATAACACAGTAATTAATTTGCTGTTTCATAGTTTTGCACAATACAACTCCTCTGATATAAACATTAAATAAAATCGGCATTTTAATAGGCTGTGTCTCCTTTTTTTCCATGGTTCTCAGAATAACCCTTTGATGGTTTCTTCCCTATAGAACTTCTTCCAAGCTGCTGGAAGTAATCAAACATTGTTCTCTAAAGTAAATGAAGAAAAAGTAGTTCTATTCCTGCATTTGCTAGGGATAGACACAAATGGACATGCTCATCGGCCAAACTCCAGGTAATTTAACACACTAAATATAACTTGCTTGTTAGCGTTTAACACACAACATTTTTTGTCCTAAGTCAACTTTTTCTCTGCAACAATATTTACCAATCTAGATAAAATGCTTGCAGTTTTGATGAGATTGTACAAGGGGCAAAGTTTGAAATTGCCATGAAAAATTAAAATCTAAATTTCTTGAATTTTGTTAGTTTAAAATCTTATAAGGTTACATTAACATAGCAAATTTTCATTAATTTGCATATAACTACAGTAACATATACAAATATATTAGCATAATTGACTGTTCTCAGGCAGCCAAGGACTGAGAGTCACCTTGTTCCTCCCCGCCTCCAGCAAGAGGGAGATTTGCTGGCTCCCTGACACCTCCAGTCTGTTAGCACCTAAACAATCTTCTCTGGCTATGCCAGCCCTGTCTTTGCCCTACATATTAACAATAGCTGGTCCCTAAGCCCTTTGAAGCATTCCCCTGTAGTGTTCAGCCTCTTATGCACTGAACCCTCTCAGAAATACCGGGTTGCCTATCCCCAAGGGAACAGTACACACCTGCTTGGATGATTCAACTCCAAATCAGGTCCTATTTAACACCAAAGCACTGAAATAGATTTCTAGTGAAAACAATAAGAAGTTTATCATCAAAGGTTAAGATTTAAGAAAGAGAGAGAGTAATGATAATGGAAACAGAAATGTTACATATAAAATAACACATTTTCTAGAGATTAAATTTAAGAAGCTAATCTTCTGTCTAAGGAAGTCTGTTTCACCCAAGTGTCTTTTATAGTGCTTATAACTAGGACAAGTTGGGATCCTGTTTCAATAATGTAATCACACTGTCTTGATTACTTCCTCTAGTGCAGGATAAAGGGATGTCTTTTTGCTTTCCACTTATATTTCCTAAAGTCGTTGTCTGCCCCAGAGACAAGGCAACCCCAGGTGGTTCATTCTCTGATGTGCTCCTTTCCTGTTGACTCCATATGTAAATAAGGCTTTCATTGTGTTGGCTTACAATGCTTAATTTACATTTGACAGGGAGATACACATCTTATCTCCTATCTGGAAGAACCCTGTTTTTCTCTTTGGTTGGTGACAAACTTCAGAATGTATATTTTCAGTACATATACAGCTCCTGAAATAGCATCTGTACGTACATCTTACGACAATATTCATAACCAGTTTGACACCGGCTTTCATTTAAGATCTCACATGATATCTGCTCGGGTAAATGCCATGAAAGTGGTGTGCTAGTTGTAGTGAATTTGTTAGGAGTTGCTGTTATGGAGTTGCCTAGTTGGCATTGAGGGGTTCTTAGGGTCACAGCATATATCTCTTAATTCTAATTATCAAGGGCAGTAGCAAACTTATTAATTATACACCTAATCAAAAGAATACCTGGCAGATTATTTGTTTTTCCTTTTGCCCAAAATGAAGTTCAGAGTCCATCTTAATTCCACAGTAAACAGGAAATCCAGAAATAACAAGTCTGATATTGCAGCCTTATTGTAGGTGAACTGCCAAGTTTTTTGGATGGCAATTGAAAAAAGAAAAAATTTTAAGGCCATACATCATTACAAAAACATTTTGAAACAAAATTTATGACAATCCCATTCATTTTCCTCTTGAGTTCTGTTTCCCTTTTTCACCTGAGACAGTGCAAGGAATTGGGGCTAACCTTTGAAGCAGGCAAAGCACATGACTGTGAGCCTTCTAAATGGAAGTGTCAGGGCTCCTCTCTGTCTTTATTTTAAAACGATATACTTTCTAGCCTTTTAGAAAAATGTGAATTGATTGGTTGGTGATAAACTAGTCATTGTGGCTTTCCCCCCTTAAAAATTCCTGATTTATGGCCCACCATCAGACACACAAGGGTGTTTGGGGCCCACAGAATCCAGGCTCATCAAAATCTCAAGACAAGCACTACATCATGAAATCAATTATTGATATGTATAGTAACTTAAAAAAGAGTTTTAAAATTTTCACTTTTAAGTCTACAATTGCTGTGTTAATACATTGGACTCTTTTAAAACTTTTAATCTTTAAAGGTTTGCAGTTCACTTTTAAATTATTGTGACATGGAGACCACTTGCCAAATGTTTTACTGTTCTTTGCAAACTATTATCTCAGATTGGACAAAGGTACTGCACCAAACACATGTCTTGCAGGGTGTTTATCCATAAGGAGTAACATGTAAGGTATCTACAGAAAGCTCGTAACTTATCAAGACTAATAATCATTGTGAGATGTATCTACGGTTATTTGTAACATTCCTCAGATACAATCTGGATTGCTGAATAGCAGTTCTCAGCTCTCCAACCTGGGATGCCTTTTACATTGCTTTACTGGTAAACAGCCACTCTTGGTCAGTTAACACACAGGCTCCAGCATGAAACATGCTTCCAGCTGCACAGTATTGAGTGCTACTAGCTAGCCACTCATGAATTAAACTGCAGAAGAACACCAGCAGATTCTCTAGTCCCAGATTTCCCCCCAGAAATGTGCATCTTGTATTGGCCAGCATCTTGCTGAACAGTGCAAGCACATATAAAGTCCGTAATTTCATCAGTGGAAAATTATATGCACCAGCCTTGTTATCCCAAATGGAGTTTCCCACACACTTTAATCACAACTCACTGGTTAGATAAAACAGTGAAACAAGTTTATTAACTACAGAAAGAAAAGAAAAATTTAAAGTGACTACAATTAATGAGGCATAAAGGTCAGGATTGGTTACAAAAGAAATACAAGATAAAATGCAAGCTAAATGCCTAACTTAACAAGCTAAGTGAACTTAAAAGCAGAAGGTTTTCCTCACCATAAGCTTATAGCAGTCTGTACTGGCTGAAAAGCCTCTCAGCCAGCACTCCAGCCTCTCCCCTCCCAAGTTCAGTTCTTTGAGAGTCATTGATGCCATGAGCAGAGATGAAGGAGGACAGTGAGGTCAAGCATTTTTCTCCCCTCTTTATAATTCAGTTTCTTGTGCTAGAAACATCTTTGCTGAGTCATGGTGACAAACAGTCTCTTGTGGACATAAGGTTTGAGTCATCCTTGTGATAAAATGTACATTTCTTGTTCATGCCTTCTCTATGCCAGAGAATGGCTCTTTGAACAGGTGATGGTTCATTAACACCTGGCTAGGGTGCCAGTGTGTCTTTGTCTTTGAAAACTGGTTTGGGCCTGCTTTTCTAACTCTGGAGCATGTAACAACAATGTTATACAGTAAAATCTTATAACTTTACATGCAGTGTTGATACACACATTGTACCAGGACAATAATATTCTACAGATTGAGTTTTCAACTGATATTTCACAAGGCAAACAGTAATGTTTAAGGAATAATGTAACTATACTGAAAGTGCACTTTATAATCTTGTATCTAGAGGTTAGTCACCAGGGGATAATATGTTTCAGTGATGGCCCATTCAAGCAGGAGGGAATTGTTACTTCTCCCTGGTTAACCGTATTAATGTATTGCAATGTATTGCAATGTTCAGTTATCTAGCCTTGCTCCATCCCAAGCCTATCAATGGAAAACTGTCAGAGACAACTTCAAACAATCAAAACCACATGGAGGTTTAAAAAAAAAAAAAAAGATTGCCCTGTCTATGCATAGAGACAAAAGACTGTTTCGGCATAACACAGAGTGGGGAGAGGCACTCTGTATCCATGCACTGAGGAAAAATCTTGTGGCCTGGGGATGTTTTCATGAAAGTTTGGATCTTAGTTCCTGTGAAGCCAACTGGCTCTGCAACAGACTGAACTTGGGGTCGGGGGATAACAACCTACTTTATTAGATAGGAGAGGTAACTATTAATAAATATAGACCCAGGTTTGCATTTTATGCTTTTGTATTGTAACCATTTGTTTCCACCACTCTTTCTTGTTTATAGTTGACTCTCTATTCTTTCTTAAATAAACCTAATTTTGTTTTATTATAAGTGCTCACAAGTGCCATGTGATTTACGGGAGTGGTGGTTTAAGGTAAAACCAGTAAACTGGGATACACTGCTTCTTTGTGGGTGAAGGTTCTGAGATTTCTGAGAGTAGTCAGTGTCAGGCTGGGTATCACAGGAGAACTCTTCAAAGGGACTCGGGGACTGGGGTGCACTTGCTGTTAACATGCAAGGTGAAGACAGGGCTGGCATTGGCCAGAGGCGAGTGCTTGAATGACTAACAGGCTGGTGGTGTTAGAGAGCTAACACCCAGCCATTGGGCAAGGCTATCTCTCGCTAGAGGTAGGGGATAACAAACTGACTCTCAGTCCTGGGCACCTGAGAACTGTCACACTTATCCACCTACTTAGTTACTGTAGATTACTAAATTCCAGAGTCCTCTATCAAGGGCCAGTTTGACCTTAAATAGACACAAACAGTACAAGAACCCTCCACACCACACTGCAGCAGGTCAACTCAACTGCCCCCCGGTATCAGCTCTAGAGAAAGCAAGAGACACCTCTAGATTCCCTTTGATAGCTTGAGGCCATGTAAATCATGAAGTTGGCTCTAATCAAGAGGCTTGCCTTAATGACAATGAGTAATCTACCATATACACTGTATTCTGCCATCTGTAATTCAAAGTTCACAGTGAAATCAAATAATATATTTTTCTTTCCTTGCTATAGGGAATACAAGGACAATATCAGAAAAGTTGACGATGGCATAAACGACATTGTTTCACTGCTTGAAGATTTTTATGGAAATGATGGAAAAACTGCCTTTATCTTAACTTCTGACCATGGAATGACAGATTGGGGTGATACTTTTTAAATCTCTAAAGTTACTTAGCAGTTGAGATTATTGGCAAATTTCTGATTATTTAGAATATGAGCAGGTTTGGGAGCTTCACACACTATGAAAGCTCTGCTGCTTCCACTCTGCCAGGTGCTTGATTTTGTATGGGGCCAAATGACTCACTGCAACTTTGGCTGAGGAGGAGAAGATTCTGGAGTGATGGAGTTCAGGACTCATGGAGAGAGAAAGTTTACTGTAGTGGAATTTCCATTTAAATGAGTCTCCGTCCTTTTCATAAAGGTCAAAAGCTGTCCTGTGCAGCTAATTAAAGCTATGTTGAGACTAGCTGAACCCTCATAAAAACACAAGGGGACACACCTAGTGTTAATTTCCAGTTGCATACAAAAAGCTATGTTAATGCATATATTCTTTGATCACTTCACATTTTCTACTTAAAATATTTTGTGTGGTAAAAGTCCTTTTAATACATGTTGTTATCAGTTACACCAAAGGGCATGTTCATCTTATGTGTGAAAAAGCTTGGCTAGATGCTCTCTTAAAGACTGATAAATTATGACTTCCTCCCCCAACAAAATTAATTACCATAAAATAATCATGTCAGCTACCAAAAAAGAGGTACATTTTACTAGTCTGAGGTCTTGGCAGCAGTTGTGCTGTAGTGTAAGACACATGAGATTCAGAGAAACTTCAGTCTTTCTTTTTGTGGACCTGGATCAAATGTACCACTATGGTGACAGTCAGACTTCAAGGGGAAAGAGTTTGCAACTTCCATGTAAAGAATCTATCTTCCAGAAAGCATCTGTATCATCTAATAGCCTTCTGAGGAGGAGCATAAACTAAATAGGGTAAAAAGAGCATGCTCAAGATCTCCTCTAAGGTTTTCTCTTGTTGTGAGTAGCCCCATTTAAGCAAAGAAACATCTGGTTTCAGCGATGTAATCAGATTGAGTACTATGTTGTATTTTTGTTGCCAAATATTACAAGTGGGGTTTGTGTATCAAGCTGGCACTATGTGGCAAATAACTGCAATAACTCATGGTGTTATATATTTCTACTTAGATGTGTTTGGGGATGCAGAATGTGGGTTTACTTGAGCATTCACTAGGCCAGTCCTATGTGTGTCCAATTGGAAGTATGGCAGAATAAATGGTTACCATTAGCGTTCTGTAATTCTGAGGTAAGGTTAATCCTCTTGAAGGAAGATTCTGTTCTAATGGGTGGTAAGCCATGGAGACTTTCCTGCCCAGCATCCTTGGAAGCTATTTGTTTTGAATAGCAGTATATTTATAATTATTAGCATGAGGCATTGTGAATCATTGATGTTTCAGGTACATTTCAGGAGTAAAATACAGAGTTGATTAATGCCTTTTGCATAAAACTACAAACTGTTCAGAGATGGAATAACAGGATTTGTTTACTCCCTAATAATCCATCAGAGAGGATAAGAGTTTATTTATGCCTATCTTTGAAAGCAATCAGTCCAATTATCATTTGCTCATATGCAGAACAAAGGTCTGTTTGAATATTACATTTTATTGTTGAGTAGATGACATTTATGTTGGCACATTTGAATTTTAGAATACATTTTTCCTCTTTGTTCTTACAGGCAGCATTCACCACAATAGAAAGACTTTGGGTGTCACTATCATCTTCCTAAGCCTGACTTTGCTTTTTTGTTAATGCATATTTTTGATTTTTGTTTCACAAGCTGAAAATTAACTAGCTTTGTGAAAAGTGCATCTGGAATCCTGGAAAAATATTTAGGGATTCTGCAGGTAGCTCTCTTTAGCTTGGAGGTTATTGATCATGACGCAAGGCCTTTGAAAGTAGAAGGAAAGGAAGACACTTGAAATGAGCCAACAATGTGGTGCAGTTGCAAAAAAGGCTAATATCTTTCTGGGGTGTATTAAAAGGAGTGTTGTATGTACAACATGGGAGGTAATTGTTTTGCTGCACTCAGCACTGTTGAGGCTTCAGTTGGAGTGTTGTGGCCTAAGGCATCCAACTTTGGGTGCCACATTTTAAGAAAGATGTGGACAAACTGGAGGGAGTCCAGAGGAGAGCAACAAAAATGATAAAAGGTTGAGATAAACTGACCTGTTGATGAAATGTTAAAAAACAAAAACAAAAAAAAGAGCATATTTAGCTTTGATAAAAGAAGACTGGGGTGGAGGGACCTGATATGTTAAAGACTGTTTGTAAAAAGAATGGTTTCAGAGGAACAGCCGTGTTAGTCTGTATTCGCAAAAAGAAAAGGAGTACTTGTGGCACCTTAGAGACTAACCAATTTATTTGAGCATGAGCTTTCGTGAGCCACAGCTCACTTCATCAGATGTGTACCGTGGAAACTGCAGCAGACTTTATATACACACAGAGAATATGAAACAATACCTCCTCCCACCCCAGGAGAGTGAATTTGTGTGGGGGGGTGGAGGGTGAGAAAACCTGGATTTGTGCTGGAAATGGCCCACCTGTTGATCACTTTAGATAAGCTATTACCAGCAGGACAGTGGGGTGGGAGGAGGTATTGTTTCATATTCTCTGTGTGTATATAAAGTCTGCTGCAGTTTCCACGGTACACATCTGATGAAGTGAGCTGTGGCTCACGAAAGCTCATGCTCAAATAAATTGGTTAGTCTCTAAGGTGCCACAAGTACTCCTTTTCTTTTTGTAAAAAGAATGGTGATTAATTGTTCTCTGTGTCCTGTGAAGGTAGGACCAGAAGTAATCGGCTTAATTTGGAGCAAGGGAGATTTAGGTTAGCTATTAGAAGAAAACTCCTTAACTATAAGGATAGTGAACACTGGAATAGGTTGCCAAGAGAGGTTATGGAATCCTCATTCTTAGAGGTTTTTAAGAACAGGTTGGACAAATACATGTTGAGGATGATCTAGATATATTTGGTCCTGGCACAGCACTAGATGACCTCTCGAAGTCACTTCCACCCCTACTTTTTTATGTTAACAGTTGTGCTATTATTTATTTTGAGTCCATTCAACATGTGTTAGGCACCTGACAAAAACAAGTAAAGACACAGTTCTTGCCACAAAGAGCATATGGTCTAATTTTGACATGACACAAGGAATGATGGTCAGAGACACACACATAGGGGGCAAAGAGCTAGGTGAGAGGAAAGGGATAATAAGAATGAATGTCATGTGGCTACTCAGTAAGGCAGTGGCACACATTCATGGGTCAGTTTAAAACAAAAAAAATTTACCCTAAAATTTACTTTTCTCCTGTGATGGATTCACTACACTGGAGAGAGGTCCTAACTCATGCCTGATGAATGGAGGCAGAGCTCCCTTTTTGAAACTGAAAACTCCCATCTGATTCTATCCCAGTCATTGTGCTCTACAGAGAAGAGCAAATGTTGCCTCTTCTGCTCTCTGTGCGAGGACTTTTTCAAGGAATTCTTTCCCCTGAAAAATATTTTATTTTTTCCACTGGAAATTTTTTCCTTCTCCATTTGTCCAGGCCATTGTCTGGGGAGGAGAAGATCTTCTTGGAAACCGTTTGATGTTTGGGTCTGGGGACTTCCAAACCCTAGTGGTACATCCCACGTCCTTATAGTAGTTGTAGAAACTGAGCAGCTGCTGCAGCAACTTCAAAAGGCTTCTGCATATGAACTCAGAAAGAAGAGAAGTCTTGCATTGGAAGGGAACGCAGTGGTTGGGGCAGATTTTCCCAGAGTAATTCCCAGGGGGATGTGCTTAGCAGCCTTCTGCTTTGCTGAACAATGGATTTGGGATACACCGAGGGTTTCAGAAGGGTAGTCTTAGCACCTGACACCAACCTGACTCCTCTGCTGGATAATCATGCTTCCACTAAGAGCCAATCTTCTCACTGCTAGAAAACAGTTTGCAGTTCATTGGGGACAGCAGCAGAGAGAGGAGTTTTCGAACCTCTGCTAGTCTGCTCTCTGCCAAGACCTGCACTATGAGAAAAAAATCTAAACAAGTTCAGGTAGGGGAAAAGATCTCCCTTAGTGAGCCCATGCAGATAAGCAGCATCTATTCTTCCCTGCTCCTGCACTTCTGCCCTTCTTTCTCAGAGCTAGTTTCCTTTGTACCCAAGGTGCCATCCTTCTTGGATTAGCAATTTCACTGATTGGCTCTGATCCAGTCATCAAAACAGAGAGAAGTGGGAGAACTTTGTGTGTAGAGGCTTAAATCCACAAATCCTTCCCAGATCTCCAGGTTCTTAGGCTCGAAGCGGCTTACAAGAAAGCAGAGTTAGTTAGCAAACTTCAACCTTTCATTTGTACCCTACCAGTTGTCATGCATGCAACCTCAACTCTATCTCTGGAGCATATATATTAAGATTTCATCTTTAATTACATAATTAAATTTGATATTCTTTCAAACCCTTCTCATACACACGCGCACACACGCACACCTTGTAGAATGCATTTTGTAAGGTATACTGGGAACAGGACAGGGCACCTATGGTTCCCCAGCTTGTTCAGTGGGCACCTTTCACCACTGGAGACGGACAGTGGAGGCTGCAGATACTTTATACCTTTGAAAATCAAGTCAATTATTTAGGTGCCTAAGACCCTTTGCCCAAATTTATAGACATGTTTAACTTTACACACCTGAGTAATCCCTTTGGTTTCATTGGCGCATGCAAGTTAGGTACATGTATATGTTTTCAAAGGTTTGGAGCCTAAATGCTTAACTTTGGGCACTCCAATTTGAAATTTTTGACTGGAATTTCCTTGTGCCTCGGTTTCCACATACTTTAAAATGCGGAAAAATATCTATTTCAGAGGGTGTGGTGAAGCTGAAGTTAGCCAGTGTTTGTAAATTGCTTTGTGATTCTCAAATGGGTGGCACTACATAAGTGCACACTTTAAAAGAAAGGTTTCTAAAATGTCTCTTGTCATTCCAGTAAAATAACAGGTGGTGCTAGTGTAGCCTGCCTGAAGAATATAGACAGGATATTTTTTCTAGGCAGAAATTTAAACTTGGCTCTGTGAGAGCACTATTTGCCTTGCTTATCAAGTCATTGTGTGTTTGGTTTGTCATATCTGTAGGCTCTCATGGAGCTGGCCATCCCTCAGAGACTTTAACACCGTTGATTGCTTGGGGAGCTGGAGTGAATTATCCACAGAAAGTCGCATCCCAGTTCTTTGAAGATGAATTTTTAAAAGGTATGTAAACAAATCACCAAATTACATTAAAAGAAATTACTTTTTGTTTTGTTGCACTACTTTTCAAGGGAAAGGGCAATATTTGTACCTCACATCTATCCGATTTAAACTGCATTGAAGTTATGAAGCAGTAAGGTTTGTAAGCAAGAAAACAAAGGCAGAATTTGCCCCAGAGTACCTTGTATTCTACATTACAAGAAAAAGGGGTGGTTGGGGGAGTATGTGGTGATGGTTGTGGAAGGCTTGTCTCATGAGTAAAATCACACTTGCAGAGTTACCTTCCAATCAGCATATCAAGGGCTTCCCAACAGGTGTGAGAAGGATATTCATGTCCCAGAAACTTTGGATGTCCCAGATGAAGCATGGTTCTGAGGATGCCTCTGAGGTTAATTTATCTGCACAGAAGCCAAATACTTTTACAATGATTCCAGACTTTCTTGTAGCCCCACCATAGCATAGCAGTAGTCATGCTGCCATGGTCTTGTTTTTTGCAGATGGCCTGAATATACTCCCCATCCCCAAAGAGTTTCTTAAAAGGGTGGAGCTGCCTGCATAAAATACTGATTGGGTAATCCTGCAGGTTTCCAGGTGAACAGAATACAGTGGAGAGCATAGCTATATTCCTGGCTTTAGCCCTTCCTGACAACAGCCCACGGTTTCCAAATCTCCTGAGCCCCAAATGCATGTCTCTTGCACAGAGAGACTTCTGTATTCTCTGTTGAAGAAATGGATGTGCCGTGGAAATACTGCTTTCCTCCCACACTCCTCTTCTGCAAATTGGGGGCTCTTCTGTTTCATTTTCCTTTCTGTGGCTGTAGTGGAACTTAAGGTAGTTGTGCTTTTGGAGTAAAAGAAAGCACTGCCTTGACCCTTCCTTATGTTTTCTTTTTTTCCCTTTAAATTTTTTTTTTATTTCAGAAAAATTATGCAGTGCTTGCAAAGTGCTAATATAGAGTTCATCTTTAATATTCTAAATACATGGTATATTAATGTACTGGACTACTGAAACGTCATTGGGGTTCTGTGTTGCCATGCATGTTTTGAGATATTACATCATGCACTTGGCTTGCCTTTCTCTTTTCTCTTGTACTCCATTTTTGTACTTGTTTCATTTCTCAAGACCTCCTGAGGGTCTAAGATTGCTCAGGATCAATGGGGTAGCAAGTTTCTATGTTGCTATATTCTTTGTCCGGCTACATTAGAGATGGGAGTAAAGAGGCAAAAATGAGCAGTCCTGAGGTTTTCATTCTGCCATATGCTTGAGAAGAGTAATGGTGTCAGAGACTAAATAAATTTGAGTACTCTGGGTATAGATGATAACATTTCACTTTTTAGGATCAAGTATTTGCACAAAATTAGTGCATCTCCAGTAGGTTTGAAAATAAGCCACAAAATAAATATATTGACAGTAAGCAAAAATGGCTGACTTTGAGGGCTAGGTCATGAAGGTTGAACTGCCAGAAATGTCAAGGTGTAGTTTTCTGTGTAGTTGTAGCCATGTTGGTCCCAGGATAAGAGAGAAACAAGGTAGGTGAGGTAATCTTTTCTTCTTCTTCGAGAGTGCTCCACTCTAGGTGCCTCAGGTGCCTCAGATCAGATATTTTAGGTAGCAGTATCCATTTGGTCTGTGCATGCATTCTCTGCAGCCTCATGCCTTGCATGGTGGCTATATAAGGTTACATGGACAAATCACCCGCAGTTCCTTCTCAACTGCCTCAGCCTAAGACGGAGTCTCAGCAGTGTCGGAGTTGAGCTTACCTCAACTGTATTTTTTCTTTCTTGTTTCTTACTAGTTACTTAGTGGTAGTTCTTAATGTTTACTTTGTGTTAGTTGTACTAATTTTATAAATGTTAAAAAAATTAAAAATGGAAAAAATATTTGAAAAAAAGAAGAGATTTTATTTATACTTTTATGATAGGGACTGTTGTCCTCGTGCCTATTTTTTTTTCTCCCCTCAGGGGAACTTAAATGCTAGGAGGGCATGCCCAGTTCTCCTGGTTTTAAATGCTGCCTTTTGTGCCAAGAGGCTATCCCAGTCAGTGACATAGAACTGTTTATTCGCCAACCAAACACAGTTTGAACAAACTAGTCTTGATGACTTTGGTCATGAAAAACTCCCTCGACTGGTGGAAGGATACTCACAATGTTTGTGCGGGGGGTCTTCTTTGCTCATCCATGTCCAATGCTCCAATGTCATGCATCCTTATTGGGATGGGAAACCCACCTAGAAACTCACACTGTTCAAGGCAGGTGATCTCCTCTCGAGATCGCTTCAGTCTCCCTGAACACTCAATAATAGACTTAAAAGTGGCAATTCTTCAACAAAAACAACTTCAAAAACAGATTCCAGTGAGAAACTGCAGAACTGGAAATAATTTGCAAACTGGACACCATCAAATTAGGCCTGAATAAAGACTGGGAGTGGATGGGTCACTACAAAAACTAATTTCCCCCTGTTGATACTCACACCTTCTTGTTAACTCTTCGAAATGGGCCACCTTGATTACATTAGCGCTACAAAAGCCTCATTAGCACTATAAAAGTGATTTCCATCCCTGCTTGTCAACTGTTGAGAATAGTCCACTTCCACCTTAATTGAATTGGTTCGTTAGCACTGACCGCCTAATTGGTACGGCAACTCCCATCTTTTCATCTGCTGTGTATTTATACCTCTCTACTATATTTTCCACTCCATGCATCTGATGAAGTGGGTTTTAGCCCATGAAAGCTTATGCCCAAATACATTTGTTAGTCTCTAAGGTGCCACAAGGACTCCTTCTTGTTTTTGTTAATTTACTTAGTTGCCATAAATAATCATTGTTGAGTGATAAGAACTTGTGACTCAGTGTTCTGCTTCGACAGCATTACACAGCAACTCCTGGTAGGCTGCGAAGTAAAGAATAAAAGTGTAAAATGAAACCCTGCTCTCCTGTAAGTTCATACAAAGCATCTCTGCTACACCACTAAGCTATTATACCCAGTGATGTGGTTTTAATAAAGTTGTTATGTTATGTGAAAGGAAAGATTTACCTGAAGATCTCTGTGAATTTAACAGTTCTCTTGCCCGCTTTCTTTCCCACCCTCCAAAAACAAAAAAGTTTAAGAAGGTTGCATAAAGAAAATGAGAAAATCTAAAATCCTTGTATTTTTTTAGAACATTTTGATATTTTTGTGTTTTTTTTTTTTTTAAAGATCGCATACATCGATGCACAGGCTTAATGTCATGCAACTGCTTACAATCCTTTTGGATTTTTCAGATATACAAGAATCCATAGGAGACAACACAATTGCTTCTAATGCCTGCAAATGTTTTATTCTCTGTTTATGCAAACAGTTCCTTGGCGGTTTAGTGAGTTTTTCGTTGTTCCATCACCCCCATCAAGGGTGGATGTTACCTGAGGCAGTGGCTGCAACAGAGAGTTACCCTATCCAATTTGGTATGGAGTGATTGGTGTTCTCCTCATATGGCTCGAAGGCACACTGCTTGCTCTGAGATGACAGCCTTCTCCTTATCAGTCATTTCACCTGTATTTTGCCTCCCCTAAAGGCTGATCAGATTCTTGCTAAGCCAGTAATACAGTTTGACAGCACACCTATATCAGTAAAAAGAACAGGAGTACTTGTGGCACCATAGAGACTAACAAATTTATTTGAGCATAAGCTTTTGTGGGCTACAGCCCACTTCATTGGATGCACAGAATGGAACATATAGTAAGAAGATACATATATCTATCTATATATATACACACATACAGAAAACATGAAAAAGTGGAGTAAGAGGCTAATTAATTAAGATGAGCTATTATCAGCAGGAGAAAAAGACCTTTGTGACTTTGTCCTCACCCACAACTATTTCACATTTGGGGACAATATATACCTTCAAGTCAGCGGCACTGCTAGGGGTACCCGCATGGCCCCACAGTATGCCAACGTTTTTATGGCTGACTTAGAGCAACGCTTCCTCAGCTCTCGTCCCCTAATGCCCCTACTCTACTTGCGCTACATTGTTGACATCTTCATCATCTGGACCCATGGAAAAGAAGCCCTTGAGGAATTCCACCATGATTTCAACAATTTCCATCCCACCATCAACCTCAGCCTACACCAATCCACACAAGTGGTCCATTTCCTGGACCCTACTGTGCTAATAAGCGATGGTCACATAAACACCACCCTATACCAGAAACTGACTGACTGCTATACTTACCTACATGCCTCCAGCTTCCATCCAGGACACGTCACACGGTCCATTGTCTACAGCCAAGCTCTAAGATACAACCGCATTTGCTCCAATCCCTCAGACAGAGACAAACACCTACAAGATCTCTATCAAGCATTCTTAAAACTACAATACTGACCTGCTGAAGTGAAAAAACAGCTTGACAGAGCCAGAAGAGTACCCAGAAGTCACCTACTACAGGACAGGCCCAGCAAGGTAAATAACAGAACACCACTAGCTGTCACCTTCAGCCCCTAACTAAAACCTCTTGAGCGCATCATCAAAGATCTACAACCTATCCTGAAAAATGATCCCTCACTCTCTCAGATCTTGGGAGACAGGCCAGTCCTCGCTTACAGACAGCCCCCCAACCTGAAGCAAATACTCTCTAGCAACCACACACCACACAACAAAAACACTAACCCAGGAACCTATCCTTGCAACAAAGCCCAATGCCAACTGTGTCCACTTATTTATTCAAGTGACACCATCATAGGGCCTAATCACATTAGCCACGCCATCAGGGGCTCGTTCACCTGCACATCTACCAATGTGATATATACCATCATGTGCCAGCAATGCCCCTCTTCCATGTACATTGGACAAACCGGACAGTCTCTTCGCAAAAGAATAAATGGACACAAATCTGACATCAGGAATCATAACATTCAAAAACCAATAGGAGAACACTTCAACCTCTCTGGCTACTCAGTAATATATTTAAAGGTGGCAATTTTGCAACAGAAAAGCTTCAAAAACAGACTCCAACAAGAAACTGCTGAGCTTGAAGTAATATGAAAACTAGATACCATTAACTTGGGTTTGAATAGAGACTGGGAGTGGCTGGGTCATTACACATGCTGAATCTATTTCCCCATGTTAAGTATCCTCATGCCTTCTTGTCAACGGTCTAAATGGGCCATCTTGATTATCACTAAAAAAGTTTTTTTCTCCTGCTGATAATAGCTCATCTTAATTAATTAGCCTCTTACTCCACTTTTTCATGTTCTCTGTGTGTGTGTGTATGTGTATATGTATATGTGTATATATATATATATATATATATATCTTCTTACTATATGTTCCATTCTGTGCATCTGATGAAGTGAGCTGTAGCCCACGAAAGCTTATGCTCAAATAAATTGGTTAGTCTCTAAGGTGCCACAAGTACTCCTTTTCTTTTTGTGGATACAGACTAACACGGCTGCTACTCTGAAACCTATATCAGTGTCTGCTTTGTGCAACGCATAGCATTATCCATTTAGCCATCATAATGACTCCTGTATAATTCTCTTCTTTCTGAAAAGTTGTTTTCTGATTCCTTGGTGAAATGAATGTTGCACAGATTTAGGGCCTGCTCCCAATGAAGTCAATTCGAGTTTTGGCATTGAGTTCAGTAGGAGCAGAATTTTGTTCTCGCATACAGATTTTACTATTCCAATTCTTGCCTATTGCAGCTTCTGGAGGCTGCTCTTCTAGAAGCTTTTGGAACCAGAGTTTCCCCTTATATAGCGAACTCAGGCTCACTGTTTCTGCACTGTTTCTGTGCCTTATCTACGGGATATTATAGAGGGTTTTGCCTTTGGATTGGATGGGCCTTAGCAAACTTCCTGCCCCCACATTTTTTTTAAATTGATATTTTGACACTACTTTCCCTCCGTTCCCTTTGTGGCTGACTGCCCAGCAGACCTCAGCTAGGAATTTGGAGAGCAGGGTAAGAGTGTTTGTGTACTGTCCACCAGTAAGCCCTATCGAACAGCAAGAAAATTACTATGGGCACCTTATACAGAGCCCATGCTTTATCCGCTTGAAATGGCAGATAAGATCAAAAAAGGCACGGTCTGCAGTTAGATGGAGGGTGTTTTTCTCAAGGTGTTTCTCTTTTGTGCCCCTGTGAGTCCAACCCTACCATGGGCAGTTCTGCAGGTACCCTCCAGTGTCCCAGCAGCTCTTGGATCTAACTAAGTATGGGTGCCATAAAAAGCTATTAGAGAGAGATAAATAGTGTTGTATTTTTGGAAGCATTTTCCTGGGAAAGTACTGCATTCATAGCTTCAAAAGTTTCTAACGGAGTAGCCTCCATGAACTGCAGCGTGAGTAGTCAACCCATCAGTTTTGTGTCTCCTCTACACTATTGTTGTTTTATTATGAGTAAACAAAATTGTTCTATTACAGAACAGGGAACAGAAATATAGGTGAGATTCTCATGGAAATGAATTCAGTTTATTTTGATATATCACTATGAATACATGTCTAATACTGATAATGAACTTCATGTGTTACCATGGGAACTAACTGTAAATATGTTTCTTACTGTTAAGCTATATAGCTGTTGTATGTGAGTTGAGAGCAGAGAAAAAACATACACCAATAATCAGACCCCTGAATCTAATCACTTGAATTAAGCAATCAGAATAAGCTTGGCACAGTACAAGACCCAGAATACAGCTGCCCCAGGCAATTTATAGTCTAAAGAAAATAGAGTACATAGGCGACATCGGGAGGCCCAGACAGGGGAATGACTAGGATTTTTAATATTTATTTTAATAATAACAGACTGAGCTAGAACTGTTCATTATATTATATCAGCGCTTCTCTGATTATTGTAATAAATTTGATTGATTTACGCTTATTAGTTACAAACTTTATTAAATAGAAAATATTGTGAAGGTGAACTGATTCTGTCTAACTCATCTGATGTAGCAGACAGAATTCTGCCTTTGATCTCTGTGTGGTATCCATTTATGTCAGTGGAAGATGCATGTGCAGATGGAGGACATTATCTGATCTATTCAGGCTTTATCTATACTGAGGGAACTTAAAGTGGTTTTCCCCCTATTGCTACCATAAGTTCAGCTCCCTAGTAAAGAGAGGCTGCCACTGGCATTTTAACACCCTGTCTGAGACCTTGTCTGAGACCTGCTTTGACTGGGTACATGGCACTGTGCTTAAAATGCTAGTCGCAGTCAACAGCTCTTTTCAACCCCTGTCACTTTCCCCTACTTCTCCTTCTGTTACTGTGGGAAGGCTTGTGCAAAAAGATGGGTAAACTGCCTATTCTCCTCTGCTCATGACATCACCACTAGGAGGACTAATTCAAAAATTAGAAACAGAGGCAGTTATGAAAAAATAAACTACTAACTTAAGTTTTAAAATGGCCCCCAACCCCCTTCCAGTTTGATGTTGGTTTCTAAAGAGGAAAATGTACATACAATAGACTGGAGGCTATTTGGGGCCAGGTGGAAAAAGAGCCCTTTATATGAGGTCAGCACCTTAATTGGCTAGCAGTAAATAATTAAATCTGACTTTGTCCAGACCAGCATTTTGGTATGTCTTGGGCTGTTAAACAATAGGATTTTTCTGAGCCTGGTCTGGCTGTCTGCCACAAATACAGGAACTCCTCACTTAAAGTCATCCCTGTTAACGTTGTTACATTGCTGATCAATTAGGGAACATGCTCATTTAAGTTTTCCAATGCTCCCTTCTAACTCATTTGGCAGCCACCTGCTTTGTCCACTGCTTGCAGGAAGAGCAGCCCGTTGCAGCTAGCTGGTGGGTGGTTGGAACCAGGGTGGACTGGCAGCCCCCCTATCAGCTCCCCGCTCCCCTAAGTTCCCTGTACAGCAGCTGTTCAGTAGGCTATAAATTGCTGGCAGTTCAGCTGTCCCTCCCCCCACTGCCATGTGCTGCTCCTGCCCTCTGCCTTGGAGCTGCTCCCCTAGACTCCTGCTTGCTGGGGGGGGGGGGGGAAGAAGAGGGGGGCTAATGTCAGGATGTCCCCCTCCCCTGTGCTCCTGCACCCCGCTTACCCCGTCTTCCATAGAGCAGGGGGGGACACACAGAGGGACCGGAGATGCTGCCTTAGGCATCAGCTGCAGCTGTGGTCTATCTCAGCTTGCTGATCAAATTAAGAAGGCAGTGTACTTCTGACCCCACTCTTCATATTTAAAGGGGAAATGTGCATCTCTGTCTCTCAAACACACACAGGGTGTGTGTCTCTGTCTGCCCTCCCTCCTTTCCTGCTGCCTTGTAGAGTGTGAGAGTTAACCCTTGAGGGCTCAGCCAATTATAGTTCATCATTTAGCAGTAAGGCATTCCTTGGGAAATATCCCACCCTCTGACTCCTCCACCTCAACCAAGCTTCACAATCATCATCACTGTGTACCAGTATTAAATTGTTCATTTAAAACTTATAGTGTGTGTGTGTATGTATATATATAATATAGTCTTTTGTCTGGTGAAAAAAAATTTCCCTGGAACCTAACCCACTTGTTTACATTAAGTCTTATGGGGAAATTGGATTTACTTAACATCATTTTGCTTAAAGTCGCGTTTTTCAGGAACATAACTATAACATTAAATGAGGAGTTCCTGTAATACTGAATCTACCCCTCAGTGCCCATGAGCTAAGGAGGAGCTTCTGGGGGTTAGAGGTTTATGTTTTCAGAGCTGCCTGTGAGATACAGATACCCCATTTCCAAATCTCACTTTGAATCCTTTAGTTGTCTCAGGAAGTTATGCATCTTTGTCCCTGTTATACAGATATATAGGTTTGAGGAGGAGGGGGGGATTTCCTTCCAGATGACTAAGATCACAAGAATAGCCAGTGGTTTTTCCTTATGGATGAAAGAAAATTTAAGCTGAAAGAAATTCATTTTGTTCTTTCTGCCTGTTCTCTCCCTTGGACCTGTGCACTGAAGCCAAAGTATAAGTCTCTCTTAGGAGGAAAGAATCCTTACATAAAATACTGGAAACTCATTAAGAGTCAAATTAATTATTTCTCTAAAATGGTGATACACCGATGTCAGTGATTCAGGAGCCAAATTAGCCATCAACATTACCCAAAAGAGCCACAGTCGTGTGAATTGATAGCTTCATTTACTATAGTACTATATATTCATATTTAAACAGTATGACAGTAGAAATATTTAATTATATTATTCTCACAGCAAAGTGACTGACCAAGTATTATTACTTTATCAACTACAATTGGTTAATAACATAGTAAAAGTATCCTGATTGGTTAATAACTTAGACTGGTTAATAATTAAATCACACGGTGTTTTAATATCATGTGTTGCAAAGACCTGCAGGAGACCCATTAAAGAGCCGCTTGTGAGCCTCAGTCTGAGTATCACTGCTCTAAAATCTGCCTGGATCAGCTGCTCATGTGCTCTGTTATTGCTTTTAGAATGGAAACTGGAGAATTGGAAGAGGCTGGATGTCAACCAGGTACTAAATGTATCCTACTCAAAAGCTCATTAACTTTCCTCTTTGAATTGATGTAATCTCCCACACCAGATTTATAAAGGAATTTATGAAAGAATGAGCGATTGTGCTAACACAATATTTTTCCAGAGTTTGCCACTTAAATATTAAATGACAAAGGCCACTGCCCTCAGAAACTACATGTCTGGGAAAAATTCCACCCTCAGACACTCACAGCTGTCATCTGCATCAATTAGTGCAACCATTATGTGCAACTTTCCCTTTCTCTGTATGTATTACAATGCAGTTTTTAAGGACACGATCACATCATACTCTTTTCGAAAGAGTACAAGACCTGTGTGATTATACTGACACAGGCAAACTTTAAAAACATTGGCAATAATTTATGTAAATTCCATAGCACTTGAATGCCCTGTCTCATGCACCTTAAAAGGTCTGCAATATGGAATCCCTCTCCTCTACTCATATAGAATTTGCATAACGTCTAAGGGCTTTAGAAAGGGGTTCTTAAGAAGTGCATGGCAGTCCTCCCCAACCGTTGTGAACCTTGCAGGTTCTGCTGGAGCTGAGCCTGTAGCTCATTCCTTGCCCACCTTACAAAGATGCTCAGAGACTGAAGCAAGATGTTATGTGGTAATTGCCTCAGCCCATGATCATCTGCACTATACAAAGAAGTTGGCCATGCCTGACTGTGCAGTGTGGCCTTCAAAAACTGCACGTTTCAGTGCCTGTGCTGCATGTAATTTTCAAATGCTGCTATCTTGGTCCAATCAAAACCACTTTTCACTGGAGTACTGAAAGGCATTTCTCAGTGAGGTCTGTTTTCATGATGAATTTTGTTACTCTGTCCCCAGCTGTTTTGGCAATATAGCGAATAAATTATATAGCAAGAAATTCGTTGTAATGGGAAAAAAAACACAGTGAAGAGTTATTTTTATTTATTTATTTGCTTAACTTTTCGGGAACTCAGCAACAGCTTTGCTTCAACTAAAATAAATCACCTTCAGGAAAGGGGCCAAGGTTGGGAAATTCAGCCTAGAAGGTGAAAGTTTTAGAAAGTTATGAGCAACCAAAAAAAGAGGGTTTAGAGTAGAAACTACTGAAAGCAGGGCCATGGCAAGCACTTTTGAAAAGGAATGCAAGTCTTTAGGTCTGTAAGCATTGTGAAATCTTCTTTCCACATAAGTGTAGAAAGGAGTCCTCAGTTTCAATGTGTACTTGATAATTGACTTGGAAACAAAGTTAGTTTTGTCTGTGGCAAATAATATGTTATCGTTTGCTGTGTATTCATTTTAAGCAGAACTCCTTACTAGAAATTCCAGTGAGGAGTTTTGCTTAAAAATCAATGGTACAATATGACTTTGAGTGTTTTGCCTTCTACAAGTAGTGACTCAGATTCTCTTCTGGTGCGTAGGTAAATCTGAAGTAACTCCATTTATTTCAGTGGAGTTACTCCAGATTTACACAGTGTAGCTAAGGAAATTGATTTCTAGTCTTTTTATGTTAAGGAAAATAGAAATGATAAAAATACTAAGATCGGGGTGAAAATAAGTCTAGTTGAAGGCGCGGGGCCTAGGGTGGAAGGGGCGGGGCTGAGGGGGTCAGAGCCAGCCCCAGCCCACCCTGTAAAGTAAGTGCCCCCCCTCCTTCTGCTCCTCCTCCTCCCCCCCTCCCTCCCCCACCGGGGTAGCAGCAGCAGCAGCCTGGGCCTCCAGAGGCTATTTAAAGGGCCCAGAGCTCCCCTGCTTCTACTGCCCTGGTCCTTTAATTAGCCGCTGGAGCCCTGGGGAAGCAGCGGGGCTCCAGCGGCTATTTAAAGGACCGGGGCGGCAGAGGCAGCTGGAGCCCCGCCCTTTAAATAGCCCCTGGAGTTCCCGCTACCCCAGGGCTCTGGGGGCTATTTAAAGGGCCTGCGGCTCCCCTGCTTCTACTGTCCCGGTCCTTTAAATAGCCCCCGGAGCCCTGGAGTAGCGGTGGGGCTCCGGCGGCTATTTAAAGGGCCAGGGCAATAGACACAGGGGAGCCCCGTCCCTTTAAATAGCCACCGGAGACCCGCAGCCGCTACCCCAGGGCTCCAGCACTGGGGCCACTGCTGGGAGCCCCAGGCCCTGTAAATTGCCCCCTGGGGAAACTGGGCCGCCCCAATACGGTTCACCGGCTTACTTTCACCTCTGACTAAGATCCAGATGATGGAATAAGAGGGAACTCAACATGACTAAGGGTATCGGAATCTAGTCTACATAGTAAAAGTTGGTCAATGGCTGACATTCTAATAACAAGGGATTAAGAATTGCTTTTTATATATATTATACTTAGTGTGCCACTTTAAAAAAAGTATGAAGAAAATAATTCTTACCTTGATGAAAATAATGGAAAAAAAAAAGATAAAATTCTCTAATAAAACACAGTGAAGAAGATATTGAATTTTGAATTTAAAAAAAAAGGTAGGGTTTTTAATGCACTTTTAAAAGTGAATTTATTTTTTAAATGTGAAATTTTAATAAATCTGTTGACTTATCAAATGGGTTTAATTTGATAAAACATTAAAACTCTATCTGAAAACTCAAATTCCATTCAGAATCAAGAGCATTATTTTAAACATTGAAAATATTACTTTGCTGGAGTGCTTTAATGCTGTGATAGATTCTAACAGATATGATACTATTCACATTTCAACATACAGGTATATTCTTAAAATTAATCTAAATTTATGAACACTTTAAACATTTTAAAGCATGCTCAACTGAGAACATTTTTGTTTTCACAGGCTGATATAGCGCCGCTGATGGCTTCCCTTATTGGTGTTCCTTTTCCCCTTAATTCTGTGGTAAGAAATACAAAAACATGAGTTTTACTTTAAAAAAGGCTGCATGTTTGGGGGGGAAGGGGGGAGATGGGGGAAAAAAAGATAATTTTGCAAACTTTTGCCATAGTTAATGGGGACTAGTCAAGGATGAAAAATTAAGCATAAGAATGGCAGCATTAAGGCCTAAGCAGGTACAATTTGCCTTTTAAATATTATTTTGTAATGTGTAACATATTTTAAATGATGAAAGTAGTTGATCCATTGTAACTTGCAATTCTGAAAGTATGAAATAGCTACCTTTTTACTTAAACCATGCAAATACTCTGTTAATTTTCTGTAGAGAAACAATAGGGTATGAGCTATCGTTCTTTTTCTTTATTTTTAATTGTAAGAGCTGAAACTAAAAAAAAAAAAAAAGTTCCTGAAGTTTAATGTTATTTTTAATCTAATTAGTTAGTTTACTGAGATATTTTGAGATGATATTTTATTTCATTAGGTTAGTTGATTATTTGATTTCTTATTTGGGATAGATCTCCTTTTTTAACCTTTCAATTTATCTATTTGTATTCCTTATTGCTGTCGGTCAGTGGCTGTCTCATATAACAGAACAAACTTTCTTTATTTAGCCCTAATTAACAACTAAAGCTTTAATTTGCTTTTATATTGCTTACCTCACATATGCGTATACAGTACATAACAAAAGTTAAGAGGGAAAAAAGCAAATATGTATATTAAAAAAAAACGTAAAAAACTTTTCTGGAGACTTTGGATAGATTCTGTCTTCTGGTCCATTTCCATATGTGGTCAGCTGATACTCTCCCTAGTGCTGGGAGAGTTTTTTGTTGGTGTAAAGCTAGCTTAATCAGTTCCTATGCCACTCTTCCTCTAAACCCAAGTAGAGGGTGTCACTGGAACATCTCTGAAGACCATTGCCAGCTGATGTTGTAGGTTAGAAAGCACATTCATATGGGATTCTTTAACTTATGCTGTGGCTGGGGCTGGAGAGTCACAAGGCTGAGAATTAGGGCTTTCTACATGGGGAAATTGACCGCATAGGTATACTGGAATAACTATTCCGCAGTAGCTATGTTCCCCTTCCTCCTCCAGGTGAACACTCTGTGTGGGAATAAAAATGACTTTATTCTACAAAAATAAGCTATGCTGGTGAATTTCCCTGTGTAGACAAGCCTTTAGGGAGCAATAACAGTTCCCTTCCAGCCTGGCTCCATTCTCTTGCACTAAGTTGATCTTGGCACAGGAAAGAATCTGAACCTTTAGAGGGAAACAGATACATTTTGAAAACATAGTGTAGACGGTACATGGATTGATTAAGAAAGGAGAAGAACAAAGAGAGAATATTAATGGGCCCAGAACTTGTAATAATTCAAAAAATACTTACTTCGTATTAGTGTAACAAAAGGTTCTGCTCACTAGTTAAAAGTTGGACTTTTGTCTTTTGGAGAGATTTCATATGAAGATGCAAAAACACACAACATATTTACTGTTAAATATATACATTGAACATAGGGCTTAAAAAGGGGGGGGGGGGGGAGGAATCTTTTTTGTATGTCACTTTCCCAAATTGTAAAATAGAGATAATGATATGTCTAGTTGGCAGCTGGTATCTAGCGGAGTGCCCCAAGGGTTGGTCCTGGGGCCGGTTTTGTTCAATATCTTCATTAATGATCTGGAGGATGGTGTGGATTGCACCCTCAGCAAGTTTGCGGATGACACTAAACTGGGAGGAGTGATAGATACGCTGGAGGGTAGGGATAGGATACAGAGGGACCTAGACAAATTGGAGGATTGGGCCAAAAGAAATCTGATGAGGTTCACCAAGGACAAGTGCAGAGTCCTGCACTTAGGACGGAAGAATCCAATGCACCGCTACAGACTAGGGACCGAATGGCTAGGCAGCAGTTCTGCAGAGAAGGACCTAGGGGTGACAGTGGACGAGAAGCTGGATATGAGTCAACAGTGTGGCTTTGTTGCCAAGAAGGCCAATGGCATTTTGGGGTGTATAAGTAGGGGCATTGCCAGCAGATCGAGGGACGTGATCGATCCCCTCTATTCGACATTGGTGAGGCCTCATCTGGAGTACTGTGTCCAGTTTTGGGCCCCACACTACAAGAAGGATGTGGAAAAATTGGAGAGAGTCCAGCGAAGGGCAACAAAAATGATTAGGGGTCTGGAACACATGACTTATGAGGAGAGGCTGAGGGAACTGGGATTGTTTAGTCTACGGAAGAGAAGAATGAGGGGGGATTTGATAGCTGCTTTTAACTACCTGAAAGATGGATTCAAAGAGGATGGATCTAGACTATTCTCAGTGATAGCAGATGACAGGACAAGGAGTAATGGTCTCAAGTTGCAGTGGGAGAGATTTAGGTTGGATATTAAGAAAACTTTTTCACTAGGAGGGTGGTGAAACACTGGAATGCGTTACCTAGGGAGGTGGTGGAATCCCCTTCCTTCGAAGTTTTTAAGGTCAGACTTGACAAAGCCCTGGCTGGGATGATTTAGTTGGGGATTGGTCCTGCTCTGGGCAGGGGGTTGGACTAGATGACCTCCAGAGGTCCCTTCCAACTCAGATAATCTATGATATATCTATGCATCTTTGTAAAGTGCTCAGAGATCTTTGAAAGACGATCTCTGTGCAAGTGCTGTCTTATTTTACAAATGGAGAAATTGAGACACAGAGGTTAAGTGACTTACTTGATGTTCCACTTCAAATATGTGGCCAACCAGGCTCAATCCTAAAATCAAGGAAGTTGGTGAAAGCTTTCTTTGACTTGATTGGAAGCAGGATTGTCCCCGAGATCTTCTGCATCACAGTTCTCTGCCAAAAGATCATCCTTTGTCTTTAGTTACTTTTAAGCTTCACTTCTTCAGCCTTTATTGGCTTGTTAATTTGTTGCATAAAAATTACATAATATAAAATATGTTCTTCTGTTCAGAATTTTTTTTCTGTGAGGTTTGAGAAAGATAGATCTTATACTATACTTCTTATATTGATTAGGTCTGATACAGAGGAATAATTATAAGAAGAGTATTTGTTGTCATTTATAGCAATAGATATTTGAGTAATTGTAACTCGTTTTACTTTGTTTTGTCTAGTTTTGGATTATTTGACAAAATATGAATCGTGTTAATTCATGTTTAATGTTTGCAGGGAATTCTGCCTTTGGACTATTTGAATAATAGTGCTCATTTCAAAGCTGAGAGCATGTTTACAAATGCTGTTCAGATTCTTGAGCAGTTTAAGGTAAGTAAATTAACATTCAAGAAAAAATTTGAAATGAAAAATATTTCATGCCACTCTGTTTAAAAGGTACTACAGTATAGTATACACATCTAAGATAACATTTTGATGATGGCATATTGGAAGTCAGAGTAAAGGGAAATCACATGTACATACTATATGATATGAAATAGATAAAAAGCAGATCTATGTGAGATTGGAAATTTCTTCTTTAAATTTAAGAAAAACTTTAACTTTTTTGAATAATTTATTCTTTTTATTGTCCTGAGCATAAATGAAGTTCAGTAATGATTATTGTGCATTATACTGGTGTAGAGAATTTAATTTCTAAGAGTCCAGCTGGACCTTGGGTGTGTGTATGCAGCTCAAGTTGAAGTTAATGAGAGCAGTGCTTACTTATGTGAGGGCAGAAATTGACCCTAAATTTAATTGTGATATCTGAAAAGATAAGGAGGTTGCTATCGATCATGAGTGGGGAATCTGTTTTCTATGCAACTGGGGTTGGAACATTCCAAGCTCAAAGTTCAGGGCCAATAAACAACTTAATCAGAAGGTAATAAGTACCTGTCTGCTCATGAAGCATAATGACCAGTAAGTGTTTCAACCAGTCTTTTTCTTTCTTTCCACAACACCATTATTTCTATAGTATTTATGGTGTTTGTCACCTTTTTTGCAGGTACATTCACCTCTTTAGTTAATAGGGTGTTCTTATCTAACCCCCCAAAGTTGTTCCTGGTTCTTGGCTTTGAGTAACTCTTATCCTGTCTTTTTCTAGTGATAAATTTCCTGCTTGCTAGCTTATTTTTGAAGTCTTTTAGGGGCATAGATTGTGTGTGTTTGAAGGAAAAATAAGATAATTCAAAAATAATGGGAAGTAGCTCAGCAGCTTAAAGAGATGCCAAGTGGGTCCATTGACCATAAGTTTCCTGTGATGGACAGACCTGACCACTACTTGTATTTCCTGGGGAAGATTTTGTCTTGAATGGATGTGAGATATGTTGGAGATTGTTGCTTGAAGCTGTCAGATCCTGGGAGCAGTATACTAGAAATTCCCTTGCATCTTGTATGCATCCATTAAGCCCCAGGTCAAACTGGTGCAGGAAGCCTGAAAGATATTTTCAAGGTCTTCCAGGCTGAATGACTACGATTGCATCCGAGCCTTCCATTTTTGTGCACATCCAGTTTGAGAAGTCCAATAGCATCATTTCACATCTTTACAGCGGTGCATTAGTTCTTGTCTGTTGGAGTCAACACCGGTGCTTTGGTATGATCAAATCATTGATTTTATTCCTTGATTGTGTTTAGCTTTGACTCTGCTCAAAGTGGAGCCACCCAGTAAACACTGATTATTTTTTCTCACCTTGTACATTGTGGAAGTCCTACTGTGAGAATTTCTGGTAGGTGGCTCACATTTGCTTTTCAATTGAATCTTTAGGGGTACTCTTTCAGCACTGTGCAAGGAGTTGTAAGGAACTCTTAACTATTTACAAGAGTAGAAAACCCAAAACCCCATCCATTGTGGTAAAAATTTGACCGTTGTTGCTTTTTTACAGCATTAAGAACCTTTCATATATCAACCTAAACATTAATTTCTAGTTACGGCTTTTATGTTCATTGCTTTCATAATTTGTTTGCAGATTAAGATGACTCAGAAGAAGGAAACTACATTATCATTTCTATTTGTACCTTTTCAGTAAGTGCATTTTAAATTTTTTATATTTTACCTGAATAAAAATTATTTTATTTTTCACTTTGATAAGTATTTCAGTGATAAGTATTTGATAAGTATTTATGGGATAACAGACAAGCACTAACGCACAGAGATGCAGTCTCTCTTTCAAATATACTGTGAGAATGGTATCCCAAATCTTGCCCTCAGATATGAATGAGAGCTGTGCATGCTTATGAGAGTGGAGTTTTTCCTTAGAATTTATATTTTGGAAGAATTTAAAGACATAACTTTTAATCATACTTAAAATAACATCAGATTTTAACATATATTTTCAATCCAAGCACATACATTAAGATAACTTTTTCATTCTATGGTATGGTTGAGTATTAAATAATAGATTAGAGACATTCTTAGGATTGCAGGAGTGTACAAAATGTATGTTTTTTTTTTTCCAGGTTTGCTCCCTTTTATGAACAAAACATCTCTATACCTCGATTGTAGTGTATCTTCAAATACAGTTGCTTGAACATTTCCATTACAAAAGTGAATTTCAGTTACTAATAATGGTCTTGAATGAAATTTGGGGTGAATCTCAGGGAGCAGTCCTCTCCTCTATCCCTTTCCCTGCCCCCCCCCCCCCACGGAAAGTTTAATCAGAAGTGATTGAGCCATTTTTAAGCATGGAATGAGTAGAGGAAAATGAAGATTTCCTGCTAAGAATAAATATTTGTGGGGTTCTTTTAAACAGCTGTTCAGCCTCAGCGAAAGGTATTGGGAAATTTTAAATTTAAAAGGCACACCTGTCTCATGAAAATTGGATTTGGATTGGCAGAGTTTTAAAAGTTTTTAAAACAGACAAAATTCATGCACAAATTATCATTCTGAAATTATTAAAACTAAGAAAGTCTCATTCTTAAATTATTAATGCTAACAATCTCCCAACATTCCATTGACAATGCACAGGTATGCAGACATAAATTGAGTGGAAATTTCATTTGATTAGAAGATATCTGATAATTCCACTGAAGTGGAGTGGAATTTTGGCTTTTATAGGTAAAAGATAGTGAGATATGATATGCTCCTTTCCTTATGACAGTTGGGTGTATGTATGTCACAACTGAACTAAGAGGGAATTTGCCCATTGTGTGGATGTATTAGACTTTGGGCCATACATAGAAGGGGACCTGCAGTACACAACAGTTATGCCCCGCTTCCTCAAAACCTGCTTGCAGGAAAAGCAGCCCGTTGCAGCTAGCTGGTGGGGGCTTGGAACCAGGGTGGGCCAGCAGCCCCCCATCAGCTCCCCTAAGTTCCCTGTGCAGCAGCTGCCCAGCAGGCTATCAATTGCCGGGCAGTTGAGCTGTCCCTCCTCCCACTGCCGTGTGCTGCTCCTGCTTTGAACATAAGAATGGCCATACTGGGTCAGACCAAAGGTCCATCTAGCCCAGTATCCTGTCTACCAACAGTCTACTGTCTACCAACAGTGGCCAATGCCAGGTGCCCCAGAGGGAGTGAACCTAACAGATAATGATCAAGTGATCTCTCTCCTGCCATCCATCTCCACTCTCTGACAAACAGAGGCTAGGGACACCATTCCTTGCCCATCCTGGCTAATAGCCATTAATGGATTTAACTTCCATGAATTTATCCAGTTCTCTTTTAAACCCTGTTGGAGTTGCTCCTGGGAGCCTCCTGCTTGCTGTGCAGGAGGTTGGGGGGAAGAGGGGTACTGAAGTCAGGGTGTCCCCCTCACCCTGCTCCTGTACCTCATCTCCACAAAGCGGGGGGGACATGACAGGGCGGCTCAGGATGGCAAGAGCTTGCCGACAGCAGCTGCTGTCTCAACTGGCGATCTACTTAAAAAGGCAGTGTATGTAGAGTGGGGTCAGCATACTTAAAGGGGCAATGCATGTCTGTCTGTCTGTCTCTCACACACACACACACACACACACAGAGTGTGTGTGTCTTTCTCACACACACATGCACCGCCGCGCCCCCCCGCCCCGGCACTTTGGAAAGTGGAGGGAGTGGTGCGCTTCAGTGGGATAGCGTGGGTTCATCATCATGTTCGGTTTCCACAGGAAATGTTTGCAGCCACTGCCATGCGTCTACTGAGTCTCCTCCCTCCATTTGTGCTTCCTTGTAGAGAGTGTGAGGTTACATTAACAACAATGTGTTAACCCTTGAGGGCTCAGCCGAGTGCTAGTTCATCATTTAGGAGCAAGGCATTCCCTGGGAAATATCCCACCCTCTGACTCCACCACCTCAACCAAACTTCACAATCATCATTGTTGTGTACAGTATTAATTTGTTTGTTTAAAACTTATACTGTGTCTGTCTATCTGTCTGCCTATCTGTCTATCTAAAAAAATTATCTAAAAAAATTATCTAAAAAAATTTCCCTGGAACCTATCCCCCCCTGCCCCCATTTACATTAATTCTTATGGGGAAATTGGATTCGCTTAACATCGTTTCACTTAAAGTAGCATTTTTCAGGAACATAACTACAACAGTAATGGAGGAGTTACTGTAGGTTGTTTGTGCTTCTGACAATAATCTGCATTGGGGCTAGTCTGACTGTACACTCAGTTCAAGCTACTTTTTTCCCGAAAGGATTTCAGTCTTGAATTAGGCCCATGAGTTTGTCTTCAGTAATAATTAGTTCTGTATTCAGTTCTTGGAGTGCTCCAAAAACATTTTATCATTTGGAGCAGCTGCCTTTCCTTCAGGAAATGAGACTGGCTTAACTGGAGTCTGTAAAATCCTAAGAGCTTTAAATATCTCTTTTTGTGTTGTAGATTAAATTTGCTAAATAAGATTCCTGTCTTTGTGGACAGAGATTATTTGCTGTGGTATTTTATACCACAGCTTCCTCAAAGGGAAAGATTCAGGATCTTTAAGCTCTCAGACCCCAGTCAAATAGTCTCAAAAGCCTATTAAAAAGTTTTAATCAAAACTCTGATTAGAAATGACAGTTTTGTTATCAAAGTATTTGTCAATCCATGTGGAACAAAAATGCCATATGGGATGTAGGGACATTCAGGTTTTTATTTCGGTCTGAATCTGCCATGAGGATATTTCCTTTGTTTCCTGTTTTTTTCCAGAAGGACCTGTCCAGTTCTGTATTATGATACTTTTATCTTACATTATTGCTGAATGTACCGTTAGGAAGATATAAATGCTGTTGATTTGATGATAGATAAGTGTTTTGTATCTGTTTTGGTTTTTGAGTTTCAATCAATGTAAGTGGAAATCCGAGAGATATTTATAATTTAACAAATATGCGGGGGGGGGGGGGATGATGTTCTTCCTGTTCTTCTTCTTTTTCCTTTATGCTGCTTTTCCTGGTGAGAGTTGTGGTGGCAGCATGGAGAGTTGGGAGGACCCAGACGTCCCTTTCCTCTGCAACAGATTCCAGGTCCCCCTGGGGATTCCCCAGCATTCCCAGGCCAGCCAGGAGATATAACCCCTCCAAAGTGTCTGGGTCGGCCTCCCGGGTGACATCCTTATCAGGTGCCCAAACCACCTCAACTGGTTCCTCTCGATCCAGAGGAGTAGTGGCTCTGCTCCAAGTCCCCTGCATAGCTGAGCCCCTCGCCCTGTCATGGAGAGTAAGCCCAGAAACCAGTGAGGTTTCTCTGCAGGGTGGCTGGGGAAAATGTTCTTTAAACTTAATATGAGCCTGTAGTAATTTTGTTGTTCAGTCTGTTGCCCAAGTAACATTAAACAGAACAAACAATTGATTTCTTGAGATTCTCTTTAATAGTATCTGGTTCAGTTGATTCAGTAATAATTCTAATCATAGATGACTTTCTTGGGCTCCTGTGTGTATTAAAAATAAACAAACAAAATGCCATAAATGTGCAAATTAGCATGCAAATAGCCTGCATGGTGAAAGGTTTTGGACTAGCACATGACAGTTTGTGGTATGAATCTTTTTAATCTTTCATCTTTACTATATTAAAGATAAATATTCTTGTCTTGCTGAAGTACTGAAGATGAGTGCACTCATCGACAGTCTGATGGTCTTTCCAACTTAATTCTGGGAGAGGAGAGTGAAAAGCTTGACCAGAATCACTACCTAACTCTCATAACAGTCCTAAATTTCCAAGAGTCTTCCACCTGGAAACTTACTGTTAGGCAGGTTACTTGACACCAGGGCTTGATTCTGCAGGGTGCTCATCACTTTGGCTCTGATCTGGCAAAGCACATGCTAAATACTAACCAGATGAGTAGCCTCATTGACTTCCTGGCTTAAAGTTAAACATGTGCTTAAGTGCTTGATTGGATTCGAGACCCTCTACTCAGCATCTTTCAGGAACGAGGCGCCAAAAGGCAGCATGACTATTGTCTTGCCGTGTATATATTATCAATAGTTGACGACACAGTACTTCTTGTTTCATAATTATTTAAATTGGATAAGATTTCACAAAAAGAGAGTACATTTTACTGCTACGTTAATATTCTATACTAGGAGAAAAAAATCCTTGGAGCTGAAAAAAATCACTTAACATTTTATGTTTATTTATATTTCCTCCCATTTTTGGAAATAGTGGAAAATGAATTGCACAAACACAAACTACCTTTTACAGGCAAAGCTGCCCAGAGGGGAGGGCAAAAGGGGCAGTTTGTTCCAGGCCCCCCAGTTGAGAGGGCCCTCAATCCATGGAATTTGAGTGAGTGGCATTGTGACCTGGCACACAGGGTTGCAACACCTCTGAGGTTTGGCAACCATGGTCACAATGCTCAGAGAGGGGACCTGGGCCCAGCCCTGCAGGACAGAAACCTCCACTGTCACACTGTCTGGAGTGGCTCACAACTGTGAATGCCTACCTCGGGGGAGACTGTCAGAAGACATGGCATATACCCCAAGCTGGTGGTATGTTCTATAATTAGATTTTATCAAGTCAGCAACAAGTGTGAACTCCTGGATCACTATACCAGTCTCACCATGGAGTCACACACAGTCCCCTTAGACTCTCCAGTCTACCTTGCCACCCAGACGAACTGAACTTTGTGATAATGGTCACTTAACCAAAAATCATACCACATCAGGTTGCTCCCAGTCCCAAGAGCAGTTATTGAGAGGTTAAAGCAGGTAAAACATATGTACAGGTGAATAACAGTTTGCAATTCCAAATGATGGCAGTGATATAGTAAACTGCCAGTTTCCCAGAAGTCTTTTCAGGGTACCCAGATAGTTTCTAGGGATTTCTGCTTTGCATTGGTACACTTTCCTGTAAGAGTCCAGACAGTCCAGAGATGAAGGATCTGTCCTTGAATCCATATTTATAGCTTCTTCTGACAGAAAAAAAACTGACCGTGGTCTCTACGAACATGAGCTTTTCCTTTAATTATGGTGAGTGAGGAAGGCTCTTTGAGTTTTTGACCCTCTGGTCATCAGACACAGTAGCTACTTGTTTTGGAATTAGCATTTTTCTGTTAAAGTCCTTCATTAGCATTCAGCAAGGCTTCTCTGATGGGTTATGTAGTTAAAGGGATATACACAACGTAAATGTTCGCTGCTGCATTATAAAAGGTCACAGACAAGTGAAAACAATGCAAGTAACTTCCCAGTAGTTTTATGAAGTCTTTGTGACTTTTATGAAGTCAAATACACTCATCTATCTTCAACAGTCACTTTGATCAATACTAATACACAAATGAATTGACCTGAATACACTTTAGCATGACCTGGTCTGCCGGTGTCACAGGGGTGAGTGCAGGGCAGGCAACCACCGCCCCCTCTTTGGGCCTTAGTTTTAGGGTGAATAAGGTGGGGTGCCTTGGTTTCAGATTTTTCCCAAAGCCCCCAGAAACCTCTGTACAGCCTAGTCTACAGGCAGGGGTGAAAGTAAGTCTAGGGACTTCCGGTATGGGGCTGGGCTGGGGCTGGGGCTGGCTCTGGCCCCCGGAAGGGGTGGAGCCTCGGGTGGAAGGGGCGGGGCTGGGGGAGTCAGAGCCAGCCCCGGCCCACCCTGTACTGGCAAGTGCCTCCCCCCCCACCTGGGGAAACAGTGGCAGCCGGGGGCTCTGGCAGCGGTTTTTGGGCCCTTTAAATCGTCCCCGAGCCCCGCCACTGCTTCCGCAGGGCTCCAGGGACGGGGCTCCAGCTGCTGCTACCGCCCCAGGCCCTTTAAATTGCCACCCCAGCCCTGCCTGCCGGGGCTCTGGCAGCAATTTAAAGGGCCGGAGGTTCCAGCCGCTGCTGGGGGCCACAGGCCCTTTAAGTTGCGCCTGGGGAAGCCGATTCACCCCGATACGGCGCACCGGCTCTTGCCGGTACGCCATACTGGGGTGTACCGGTTTACTTTCACCTCTGTCTACAGGACTAGAGTTAATAATAGCAAAGCTGGGACGGTTTGACCTCTATTCTTTCCCACAGACGAGTGTGTCCCAATGCATTTGGTGTAAGAAATTATTAGTATATTGTAATTGGAAACAGCTGCATCCCAATGACTCAAAATTCATTGAAAATATACAGTATTTGGAGATGTAAGTAGGGAGTTAATGTAGGATTTACACACAGATTGTGCTAATCTATGATTGCTCTTGTCTGCTGTTGCAGATAAGCAGGGTTCTGTGTTTGCATTCCCTCCAGGCACAACTGTCCTTCTCGTTAAGGTAAGAATAATTCCCTTCCCCCACTATTCAGTGATGGATGGTGAATTTGTACAAAGGAGTTAATTGCACTTTTTTTTCTGATGCTAGAAATCAAAAAATTGCAATACAGAAAAAGAGCGCACACCAATTAAATAATCTACTTCCACCTAATTTACAGGGCTTTTGTGAGGCATTATTAACTAATGTTTGTAAAGTGCTTTGAGAGCGTCTGAAAGATATTGTAGAAATCCAAAATGTTAATATTATTCCATTTTTAGAATATTATTCATTTTAATGTATATTTTAAGCAAGTTAAAAGTCTGTATAGAAAGTTCTTTAATAAGTCCCTTGTAACAGTATTTAAAATCACTTTTACAGGAAGTAATTGGATGGGTGTTTATATTAGGCCCATACCACAAGGAACATGGATTTGAAATCTTTTTAAAGTTGTTCCATATAACTGAATTTTCAGAAATTCTGGAACAGATCTGAATCAGAAATTTCTGCTTAAGAAATTCTGTATTTCCAGTTGGGCTAGTCAAAAATTTTCTTTTGAAACTGTTGACAGAAAATTTAGTTTTTGACAAATTGAAAAGTTTAAAGAAAGCATCTGAAAATTTTGATTTCTCAATGAAAACTTTTTTTGTTTTGTTTTATTTTTGTCAATCTTTTTATGGAAAAAGAAACCTTTTTTCCAACCAGCTCTACTTTCCAGATATTTTGTTACAAAGTGCCCTGGGAAATTTGTATGTCAACTCCAGATTTCATGCTTCAAAGCTAGAGTCTTTGATATATTCCAGGTATTGGCAACCTTTGTCCCGCTGCCTGCCAGGGTAAGCCCCCTGGTGGGCCGGTTGTGGGAAGCAGCGGCCAGCACATCCCTCAGCTTGCTCTGTTTCTCGCAGCCCCCATTGGCCTGCAGCGGCGAACTGCGGCCAATGGGAGCTGTGATCAGCCAAACCTGTGGACACGGCAGGTAAACAAACCGGTCTGGCCCGCCACAGGGTTTACCCTGGCGGGCCGTGGGCCAAAGGTTGCCGAACCCTGATATATTATGTGTTGCTGAATATAATAATATGAAAGTGTTGGGAGCTTTAAGACCCTTTACTCACTTAATGTTGACACGGAGTCCAAACTCAATGAAATTTACTCCTATTTACATTAACTTTTGGCAATAGAGATTACATTGAACTGAAGCAAAAGTCTTCTAATTTCCACAAGTAATCTATTGTCTAGGAAAATTGTGGCTAGCATGATGTTCAGAGGATAACAGGGAAGATTATAACTCGGCCCTTTTGCATGTGGATCCCAATTCCACTTTTTTTGTTTGATTCAGCAGTCAAATGTTGTGGAGGACAGATGTGACCACTCTGCACTGCCATCATAACTTGAGTGGTGTCTGCATGCCCAGATTGAGGTGAGTTAGAACTCTCAGACAGCCCTAGTTATTTATAAGGAAGTATCTGGCTCCAAGTGCTACAATATTGTTCACACCTGAAAGTCTGGCAGAAACCTTTATGGAGGATCAAATCTGAACAAAATCATGCCTTGAGTCTAGTTATGAGACTCTGTTACAAGTGTGAAACTCAGGAAGTACTTACTTGCCAATTACAAGTCTACTGCAGATTGAACAAGACCATGACCTGCTTCCACAAGAATGAATCATGTTATTGATAGAGAGTCTCTCACTTGTGTGCAAAATCATTGTGTGGCTCATGCCACTGGAAAATCCCTTTGATTATTTTCTCAGACTCCTAGAAGGCCACAGGAAGAAAAGATCCATTTTGTTAGGTAGGGGGTTTTTTCCTCATCCCTCCCACCCCAGAATAAAAATCTTCAAAAGCTGTTTGCTTAGCAAAACAGGAGACTTTACTGTTATGCACATGCTTCCAAATTCTGACCTTTTGACTTTTGCACATAAGAAAGGAAGGTAGCAAGGTGCCAGATACTAAAAATAAAAGGAAGAGTAAGAGAGGACAAATAGTAAAATAAATCCCAGGATTTGCTAGCAGGTAAAAATTGATGTCCGGGGAAACAGTCTATCTCATTACAGTGTGGTTGTAGCCCATGTCAGTTCCAGGATATTAGAGACACAAGGTGGGCGAGGTGTGTTTATATATAGGATTCTTCATTGGGAAATAACTCAGATATTTTATACTATTTAACGGTAAGCATATATCTTGTTGTATGTGAGATATTTTCACATCTGATACAATAATCTTCAGATAACTGAATTTGTTGGCATCTTAAACCTAGTTATACCAAAGAGATCTTTCTTTTTTTTTTAACCATAGATCAGTAATCTGGTACACCTTTAGTGTAGTGCATGCAGGGTTCAATCCACAACTATAGTTCAATGAGAATTGTGTCTATACCTTACCATGCACCACCCTGAAAATCTAGCCCTCTGTCTTTGTTTTTCAGTATTAGTTTAAAATGTAACACTCTTAAATATATGCCAGATTTTAACCTAGAAAATGTTAGATCACACAAGGCAAGTCTTTCTGCAGAATTATGCATTATTTGCCATGGTTACAGAAAAGAAAATGGGGATTTTATAATGTGGAGTGCATCTTTGAAGTAATCTGGGAACTTCAAAGAAATGCCATATACACAGACATGTTTATTCTGTCTTTACTCTTGCTCTGACAGCTGAAGATGTAAAACTGCCTTGTCTCCCTTTTGTCTGATGTTCTTTCAAAACTAGTGTAGTAAGGTATGCTTGCAAAATTGACAGTTGGTGCAAAGAAAACGGGGTGACTTTTTTCTATCGTTTTAATCTGAGATTGTGTCCCCGGAGGTACCAGAGCCCCTGGTGCCATCTTTGAAGCATTCTAATATTAACAAAGTGGATCTTGTGGTGGTTCTTAATTCAGAAAATGCCAGTTCAGATGGTACTTCCCATAATGCACTGTGACAGCCGATCTGAAGAATTCTGGGGTGTCAGAAAGAAACAGGAGGGAGTAAGGGGCTACTGTAGTAGAGGGAAAAGTTATTAATGCAGGAACTGTTCCTCTTCTGTTTGCATCTCACTTTACAGTGCAATAAAAATTTACAGTCCAAACCCATTTATCTGAAGGCTTTGGGATGCAAATAGTTTAGTTTATCAGGGGAGTCAGCTGGTGTCCTCTTCATAGTGTTGTAGTTGGAGGGGAGGGTGCTTCTCCATTGTCAGCTATCTCTGGAAAGAGAGCTAGTATTCTGTTTGTGTGGCCTCTTCTTCACCCTGTTAAAAAGTGGGGACCCAGATTTTAGCTTGTCTCTCTGTGCTCACCTTTATCCTGCTGTCTTTGCAGAAGTAGGTTGGCAGTTCTTCACTGTTTTCCAGGTTTTGAGAACATCTATGTATCTATTTGTGTAGACTCCCATATTGCCCTGAGAGACAAAAAGGTTTAACTAAATATATTGATAAAAGTTACTCTTGAAAGTGAGAGTGATTACCTCTTGGGTTGAAAAAAATGAGTGAGTGGGTTATAATGTGCATAAACCACAGCTAAAAATGTCAATCAGTATCTGTTTTATTTAATACACTGTTCATAAAGCTCACAGTTAAGCAGTATTTTAAAAGTTAACATTGAATCGAAGCCTTTAACCGGGGGATGAAACAATCCCTCTTACAAATCAGGATTCCTGTTGTTTTCTAGTTTCAGTAGCACTTGTAGCAGCTTTTAAGTTTTACAGGAAAAGCTCACTGGGAATTGCTTTGGCCTAGCACAGAGAACTGTGACACAATTGTATTTACAATAAAATAGGGGAAAAAGTAAGGTTGAGAACGAGCTAAAGAGATAATGTATTAGATAATGTATCCCCAGTATAACTTTATAAATATGCCGTTTGCTTACTTCTTCAAAGTGGTATAGCCATTGTATTTAATGAACCAGCCAGCACATGACCTTTTGTAATACTAAATTAGATTTTTTTAAATGCGTTTTCCATCATTGAAGGATCTTTCTCCACTCCCCCATTAAGCTTCTTGCACCCTCAAAGGTCCCACATCCTGTCTACTATTCTTCACGCTAAAAATAGCTAGATCCATCTTCCACTGGAGTTTCTCAATTCTGTTTCTGAGTTGGCCAGAGGAGTTGCTTCATAGAGTGTTTTTCTTCCTCCTGACCTCCAGTTGACATTAACTCTTGTGATACTGGTTTGCATACAAAATATGCAAATATGTAGCCCAACCATCTTATTTGTCTCTTTCTGATCAGTGTGTTGGCAGCAGGTTGTTTAACATGCCTGCACATTTTTCTGTCTCTTATCTTTAGGGTGACCAGATATCCTGATTTTATAGGGACAGTCCCGATTTTGGGGGCTTTTTCTTATATGGACAGCTATTACCTCCCACCCCTTGTCCCAATTTTTTACACTTGCTATCTGGTCACCCTACTTACTTTAGCTATCCAAGGGACTTTCATAAGTCTCCTGAGGCATTTACTTCTGAATACGTGAATATGCTGTATCAGGGACACTGATTTATGCAAAATGAAAAGCCAAATGTAATTTCTAGAATTTGAAAGTCCAGGATTATACCATTATCTGGCAGACCATTTTATGGAGTTTCATTTATGTCCTACTGTTCTCTCTCTTTAGAGAGAACAATATAGAGATGCTCTTGGGGTCTTGTTGACCGCTGAAAGTACTTTCCCCCTACTTTCACACCACTATGGTCTATGAAATAGAATAGCAGGAGTTTAAAACAGAAATTTTAAATTCCTATTCTTTTGTTACTCCAGGTGTTAATCTGCTTGTTACTTTGCTTCACGGTGTCTGCTATAGTCAACATTACTTGTAAAGTGTTAGTAAAATGAAGCACTGAGTTGCAGAGCTATTTGAGTATAACATTACAGCTGGACTGGTTGATTTACAGCAACAAGAACTGCACAGATTCCAGGAGTCAGTGGTCAGGATCAATGATGATTAATCAACAAGGTTAACAACATGCCATGAACACGAGCAAGGGAGGTTCCCACATCTCATGAAGTTAGTGTTTCACACAGATTTAACAAAACAACTCTGCATCCATTTAAATAGTCACAGATATCTCGAAGGCCTGTAATTGCATTTTTAAATATCAAAATATTAGATTCTGAATAAATTATTAAAATTAATATAGAGATATAATTTTGTGAAGTCCACAGTTTTCATAAATGGAATTTTTTTCTCTGATCGTTGCCTCTGTAAGCACCATACAACAAGAATTGTACTGTACAAGAAGTTTGATTGAAAATAAGCATTGTAGTTCCTGACTTCGATTTTGAAATATTTATTTCACCAGGTTTTCCTCAGTTCACTGAATAATCTTATGACTGTGTAGCATCATTTGCGATTTTATCCTTTTATGAAGATCATCTGCCCCTGGTGGAAACATGTCAGGGTTTTATATCATGTATTCCATCCTGCTCACACCAAACTTGTACAGCATCCGGTGTACATCATTAAAATAAATGATGCAGTGACAAAAATAAGCTAGTTTATATCTACACTGTTAATTCCTTCCATAGTCAGATGCCTTTATAGAGATACTCAAGCTGCAAAGGGATTGGAGATATAAATTAGAGCCCAGGCTTCAGATTAACTCGAGCTGGGACCTGCCCACTTTTCACTGAGGATGCAGGGAAAATCACTCAAATGCTGATCTTCCACTGACCTTTCCACAGTTCCCACTGAAAGAAAGACAGGTTCTCCTGCAGTTGACACAATTAACTGGGAAAGAATCCTAGAGCATCTCCGCACAGAGTCCTGGGATATGCAGACACGTATGGGTGAGTGCAGAGACAGTGAAGACACAGTAACCCAAGTAGGCCTTTGCTGTGGGGACTCTCACACCTGCGCTAGCCCAAACTGGGTGCCAACCACTTTGATTAACTATGCAGTGAAGACATACCCCCAGTATCAGCAATACAAGTGCTGCAAAGGAAACCATTCCTTTAACCTTTTTTCCTAGTCTATGAGCCTATCTTGTCATTCATTGTTAAATTCAGGGTCCTTTTAATATCATTGTTTTAGTACTGGATTATAGGGTTTTATTTTTTAGCCTAATTGTACAATAATGTTGGTATAAATAAATGCACAAACATGCATAATAAAATAAACATACTAGCAATGGTGTATCCAGATGTACTGTGAGTGTCTACTTTTCCGGGATTTTATTTCATAGCTTGATTGCAATGTCCTACATAAATGGAATTATGCTGTTAGAGATGGTTTCCTCTGAACAATGTTGATAGATAGGAATCACTTACTGGCCAGACAGAGTCCCCTTGAGATAACAGTAGCTTCATTTCATCACAGCAGTGTATTAATGCTGTCAAGCACCATTGTTTTATGTGAGGTATGAATGATGTGATGGAAATATTAAATTTGTCAGGTGTACTTATGGCAAGAGCAGCTAACATCTCTTTAGGGACAGTTTACAAGTAA